TGCGGGAAAATAATCAATCAATCATAGCGGAGATACAAAACACTATCCAAATAGAAATTAATAAGGCGATCGCTAAAATGAGAGAAGATATTGATAGGAAAACAGACTCACTTTTTAAGGAAAACGAGCAAAGACTAGAAGATATAGAAATAATAAACAAGAAAATTGAAAAACTTAACATAGAAAACGAGAAACTGAGAAATGAGATTAAAGGCTTAAACAACCAAAAAACGGCAAAACACTTGACTTGTACTGAGAGCAACTGCAAGAAAATAGTACTCTACGGTTTTCCTGAACATTATAAAGAGCCAGATTATGACCAACAATATAGATTAATTGACCTATGTCGTGAAAAACTAAATATTGACCTTACAGGGTATATAGAAGAAACATATAGGCTAGGCAGAAACTATAATCAAAACCGACCTCTAGTAATAGAACTGATTAGTAAGAGAATGGCTAAATACATTGTAGAAAATAAACACTGTCTCAAAGGAACAAGATTGTTCTTATCTGAATTTTTAGATGTAAACGCAAGATTGGAAAGAAAGGAAATGCGTGAAGAAATGCTGAAAGCACGAAAAAAAGGATTTTATGCAATAATAAGAAACAATCAGTTGTTTATAGATGGAAAAAGAACAGAAATACAGAAGGAAAAAGCCGACATATACACTAAAATCCAACAAGTAAATGATGAACAGAACCAAACTCAACACATTATAAATGAAGATAACGACGATCGTATTTTTCGAAACCCCAGACCAACAATTTAACATTTTTTTCCAAAACGTTCAAAGCATTTACAACAAGCAACACCTTCTAGAGGCTTTCATCAACGATCAACCCATCTACAAAGCAATATGCATGTGTGAGACCTGGCTCACAAAAGACAAATTAGAAATAGTGCATTTTAGTGGATATAAGACTGCAGCATCGTATTGCCGCCGCTCCCGAAGTGGTGGCGGAGTGTGTATTATTTTAGAGGAAAGTGTAGAATGTATAGAGTGTTTTGATATTAGAGATATGACAATTGATTATTGTATAGAAGTATGTGCATGTAAGCTACCAAAGCAAAATCTGTTAATAGTCACTATGTACTGGAACAGAAGAGAGGAAGAAATTTTTGTTAGTCAGCTTAAACAAATATTGCAATATATAAACAATAAATACCAAAAACTTAACGTAATAATAGGGGGAGATCTTAATATTAATATCTTAGAAAATAGCATAAAAACAAACCAATTGATTGATCTCATGCTAGAGTTTAAATTTGTACAACATATAAAAGAACCTACGCGTATCTCACAAACCACGTCAACATGCTTAGATTTGATTTTTACAAACTTTAACAATAACAAAATGTACACGACGGTAGAAGAATTGGGTTTTTCAGACCACTGCGGAACAACATTGCATATGATGCTTGAACAAAAAAGTAAGCAATCCGTTTGGTTTGCTAATAAAAGACTATTTCACAGAAGTAGTATTCAGAATTTTAAATTCAAACTAAAGACACTAAACTGGGATGAGATTATACAGCTGAATAAAAATGTTGATGAGAACTATCAGTCGTTCCATAAAACTCTGATAGATATCTTAGATGCATGTATCCCTAAACGTAGACTTAAACTAAAAACAAAACGCAATAATTCCTGGCTAACTGTTGGTATTAAACAATCTTGTAAAAATAAAAGACTACTAAAAGTTTTTTCGTCTAAAATTAATAATTCAATATTTACGAAATACTATAAAAAATATGAAAAAATCTTAAAAAAATCTGTAACAGCGGCAAAACGAATACATTACATAAACAAAATGAATAAATCATCAAATAAAGTTAAAACCATGTGGAATATTGTAAAGGAACGGACAAACAAAAAAACCAAAAAAGACAAACAAAATATAACACTACAAACAACAAATCTAGTAAGTGAACCTAAACAAGTAGCTAACGTTTTCAATAACTTTTTTGCATCCATCGGGGAAAATACTACCCACACACCCGGCAGTGTACAGAGAGAAACATCAGTGATGAATCCTACTGAAAATACCATGTTTCTTACACCGGTCGACGGATACGAAGTAAACCAGATTTTAAAGAACCTTAAAAATAAAAACAGTCACGGCATAGACGAACTCCCACCGACTCTGTTCAGACAGTGCGCTGATGAACTAACCTTACCGTTCTATAAATTAATAAATCAATCTTTCGAGGAGGGCGCTTTCCCCAACCAACTAAAAAAAGCTTTAATAAAACCTATCCATAAAAAGAACGCAAAAACAGACCCAAGCAACTATAGACCAATTTCCCTTCTTCCTACAGCATCCAAAATCTTCGAAAGAGCAATGTGTGATCGTGTATACTCCTTTTGTGAAAAATATAAGATTTTCGATGATTGCCAAAATGGATTTCGCAAAAACAGATCTACAACGCTAGCTGTTTTTAAATACATCCAAGAAGCAATTAATATTATAAATAACAAACAATATGCAGTAGGGATATTACTCGACATGACCAAGGCCTACGACAAAGTACAATTTAAAATATTATTGAATAAACTCTACGGAATAGGAATACGCGGGAAAGCTCATGACTGGTTCGCATCATATTTAAAGGATAGAGAGCAACTAGTTGAGATTGAATATTACAATGAAGAAACAAAGGAAATACAGATCATTAGATCTGATGTTAAAGCAATACACGCTTCAATTCCACAGGGAAGTGTTATAGGCTGCCTCCTTTTCCTAATATATATAAATGACCTCCCCAAAACCATAGACGGGCCATGTGTACTTTTTGCGGACGATATCTCGATCCTGACTTCTTGCCAAAGTAATGCCAATTTAAACGAAAAACTTGAGACTATTCTCGGAAAAACTGTAAACTGGATGAGTGACCATAATCTCGAAATAAATTTTACCAAAACCAAATTAATAGCGTTCCACCCCTGGCAGAAAAAACAAATAAATATAGATTTTACGTTTAATCAACATAAATTAGAAACAGTTAACAATTTCACACTCCTAGGTTTAACAATAGACACTCATATAAACTGGAAAACACATATACAGACAGTAAAATCAAAAATTTCAAAGTTTTCATATGCTCTCCGCGAAATAAAAAAGACTACAAACCTACAAACCGCACTAGCCACATACTACGCGTATGCTCATGCTTGGTTTAATTATGGCATCATCTTATGGGGAAATAGCACAGATGCTCCCTCCCTATTTACCCTCCAAAAAAAGCTAATACGAATAATTACCAATATAGAACCAACAGATAGCTGCAAGCCTCACTTTCAGAAACACAAGATTCTCACCTTAGTTGGTATTTATGTCTTGGAATTATGTAAACTCGTCCGTAAATATCCAGATTCTTACAGCACACGGGGAGACATACAAACAAATTATTCGTTGCGCCATAAAAATAGACTAAATTTGCCCCCCTCCCGCCTTAAATTACATTCATCTAGTCCTTATTCAATGTCAATAAAAATATATAATAAACTACCTGAAGACATAAAACAGCAAGAAAAAACCAGTATATTTCTAAATAAACTAAAGCAATACTTAATTAAAAAAAGCTATTACACAGTACAAGAATATCTTACAGATAAATAAATATTAATAGGTAAAACACAATTATGAATAACAGATTATCTTAATAAGTAAAATGACATAAACAATACTTAATAATTAAATTACAAAATGACATAAAAAATACTCACTGATCAAAATGACATAATATACAATACTTAATAATTGAATTACATAATAATAAAATAATAATATATATTATAATTGTACATACTAAATAAGCGATACTAAATATAATTAAATAAATAATAAATGTACAGATAGACCTGCATATACATTATTAATAGAATAAGTAAATAAATGGAAACATATAAATACATAAAAATATTAATAGAAGTGAATGAATTAAAATATAAAAATATAGTTATTAGGGTGGAAAATTATATGTAGCTGTGTTAATGAAGCGCTCTTTCTCTCTTTTACATTTTTGTTGTTTAAAACAAAAAATTGCTGTGCCCGACAGGGTCCGTAATTGTATCTAATATTTTTTTTTTTTTTTTACTACCACCTGTATTTGACATTATGGATTGCAATAAATTATTTGATTTGATTTGATTTGATTTGAAAGATTTCAAAATGTTCGTCAATGCAGTTAACGTAGAATATTGTTACGTGCCTGACGTCACGTTCCTGACTATGCGGGCTTGGGTTACGGGATTGGATGAAATGAAACGCTAATACCGGTTTTCAGACTTTCTATTGCACTTAAGTTACAGCGTCCACGAAGTTATCGGCGTTCCTCTCCAGCAGAGTCCGGCCGACTGACACAACTTTGCCGTTCACGCTGACTTAACTCACTTAACTGACTGCACTTCACTATTTCACTGCACTTCACTATTTCACTCACTTTTCTTCTTTTTCACTTCTTCCTTTTCTTCCGAATCGCTTTTAGACTTAGAACTCAACTGCCAGCGGTGAGCCGCAGTTCCGCTTATATACCCCCGGTCAGGTTCTGGAACATTCAATTTCGTTATTCTTTTTTGATCGTCATCGTCATGCCTCCAGAACCTTCCAATAATTTCGTTATTCATTTTTATTTATTCTCCATCTCGCTCTTTAATTTTTCATTTCTTTCACACAAAAGCTTCCAGAAAGTTCCACAAAACTTCCATCAACTAAAAAACTTCATGTTTACGGCGGGACTCGAACTCGGGGTCTCTGTGGTGTAATCCTCATGCCTTACCGATTACACCAACTCGTGTTGACAATTCACGACGAAATTTACAATCTCTAGGCAACGTTTGACAACCATCCATTGACGTCATGATGTCAAAGAGTTTGAACCACTTTTCCGTCACAAACTCACAATATATTATTATTATTCATTAATGCAACTAGGAATTTATTAGAATTCTGCCGTATATTGCAATTCCAATATTATTAATAAACATTTGTTACAGATGCTCAATCCAAAATAATAGGCAACCATGAGTTGGCTCCGGACGACCAGCCTCTCACTCGCTCGTCAGCTGTCGAGAACCCTCGACCCCCGACATGACTACGAACCCCAGGCTTGTTACGTGTCATTTTGCAAGCACTGGCAACAAGCACACGATATAATACTTAAATCTCAAGTGAGTATGATTCAAAATGTATTTTTGACTTGTTGAGTGTGTACGTTTGGCATTGAATATGACGTCATTATTCTCGTGATAGCTAAATTATGACGTTTAAGTAAGAAACAATATGTTCCTACCAGCAAAATTCAACGTTAAATGAAAGCCATAAAGTTCTTCTTACATATGCTTGTATTTATTAGTAAACCCAGTATTTATTTTTATGTGATATTTATTGTTCCTACTAATTAAATGAACAAGCAAAGTGTCCAATACGTTTACGCAAAACGAGAGTAGCTTTTATGCTGAATTCAATGACTGCATATTTCGTAGAACACGTGCCACGCCCCGTGCGTTCTCGTATAAAATAATTTAATAGGTAATATTAGTTGTTAAAAAATTGGGTATATTTTAAAACACTTCAGCTAAACAATTGAAGGGGTCTCTCACTGTTATGCTAAAATTCTGGATTTGGCTTACTTAATTATCCATCGATGGACCTTTGATTTTTTTGGTTATCGCCCTTTCTTATATAACATACCTACACGCCTACATAAGTACCAAAACTAGGGATGTTACAAATATCATGATCATTAAAGTTGTCTTCCTACTTACTCCAACTTTCCTAATTTACAGCCGACCCACCTACACGACGATGTCCTAGGCGTAGTAAACCATTTGGAACAACTGTCTACCCTGCTGGTGCTGGAGGCTAAAGCGCGGGAGATCAACACAGCGACCAGCCCCGCTTCTTGCCTGGAGTACCTGCTCAGTGAAAACCTACTCGATAAGCTTTATGAATGGGCTGTGTGTACTGGGAAGTAAGTAAATCTTATCACCTTAATCGTCACCATGTATATGTTTCACTCCTAGCAATAATTGACTGCAATGTTGGCACAGTGGCTGGGCAACTGGCTGCTGTGCAACGTGGCGCGTTTTCGATTCCCGCTTGTGTGATACATAGATTGTTGTTTCGAGTCTGGGTGACTTGTGTATGTGAATTTGTATGTGTGTTAACGCGCCCACGATACAGGAGAAAATGTGAGAGTGAGGCAACGCTTAAAAAAAATACTAAACATAACGACGAAAGAACAAAACCCAAAAAATACTGCGTGATTCTTGTTTACCTAAGAATTTAATCGATCAAAATATCATTGAATTTCTCCCCTTACTCACTACTAATAACTCCCCCAAAACCTACTCCAAGCCAAGTCATGTAATGGCATTGTGCTTAATTTTATGTAAGTTACTAGCTGAGACTTATATAAACCTAACCGCGGTGAGAGTTACGCGGTTTCACCCGCTGCTCGGCCCCATTTGATCGTAGCGTGATGTCTTATAGCCTATAGCACACAGGAACGTTGTAGCTATCTATCAGTGAAAGAATTTTGGAAATCCGATCAGCGGTTCCAAAGATTACCCCCTACATACAAACTTACAAATTTTACCTATTTATAATATTAGTATAGATAGAGTTGGGTAATATTACAGAAATAAAACTTTGATCATAAAAATTACAATTTTGATCACATAATGACTGTGTATGTAGATAAAGAATAATAAATAAAACACACTCTAAAATCGGTCAGTTCGCTTTGTTTTGCAAATTAACACGTCATCACTGTCGTCAGATAATGAATGAGTGTGAATAAATTTTGTTTCATTATCTAGATACTACTATGTTGAATGCCTAATAATAGTATAAGCCAGGAAACGTGTTCATTGAGGTAGTTCCAAATCCAGTACCTCCAATGATATTATAAGAAAAATGGGATAGATAGGTTACATAAACAACATTCGAATTTCAAAAACGGCACATATAAGCACACATGAATAAATCGTATGATACACGTTAAAGTGGGATGGCATGATTCAATTATCGCGAGTGAAATAGAGACAAATATGAAAAAGTGTGGCTAGTTAGCCACATTTTAATGTAGGTATCACTTGCTGAGCGCTTGTAATCTTTATACAACTTTTTATTTATAATATCATTGAGTACCTACTTACTTCAATAAAAAATTCAAAAAGGATATTTTTTTAAGTGTGAAATGTATGAGATCGCAACTTATGACGTAATCATATTTCTGCGTCAAATGGCATGGAAATTTTTTTTTTTCATAATCTACCGTAAAATGAATGAATGAGGTTATATTTAAATGTAGTAGTAATGGGCTAGGTTTTTAGGTATTATCTCACCTGGTAGTCAGCGAGGAAGCATGCCTATGAAGCATGCATATGCAAACTATTCACTCGGGCCTCGAGTATTTTGCGATTTCCGTATGATAAACTCTCAGTTAAAGCACGAACATGGATTGAAATAAGTAGTTTTTATTATTAATACATTTTTATCCCTATCTCCAATCCCGTAATTAATTATAAATTAAAAATTAAAAAAAAACCCCCGACACATAAGCTACCTTTGTAAAGTATAAGTATAATACAAAAAAGAAATTGAAATCGTTTCATTCGTTCAGGAGCTATGATGCCACAGACACACAGACAGACACGTCAAACTTATTAAAGTTTTTGTTTTTTGTGACGTACAAGTCATAACCTTTCATTTGATACCCCACTTGAGCATATTTGCAGATATTCGGTTTTTCTTCCCCATTTTAACCCCCCATAACTTTTAAAAGGCTCAATCGATTTTCATGAAACATGTCTAAGAACACTTGCCCCTAAAACAAACTGTAATACAAAAAAAAACTAAATTGAAATCGGTTCATTCGTTCAGGAGCTATGATGCCACAGACAGACAGACAGACAGACACGTCCAACTTATAACACCCCTCTTTTTGCGTCGGGGGTTAAAAATTACATAAAAATAATTTAGCAAACAAAAAAAGTACTTATGGAATTTGTCTATTACTTAAAAACCTTTTAACTCTCATATATTATTTCGACATACTCCACACATACACTACTATAACAAGAATTACTCAATGGGTAAGATAATGCACACAGAGAAACAGGTGCGTATGGGCACGTACCTACACACGATAAATCACAGTATTTAGTATTTAACTCTTAATTGTTATTATTATATTCCTACAAGTGGTTTTCAAAGAATTATTTCAAATCGGCCTCGGCCCAGAGCAGGAGAAGGAACGGGTGGGTTTTTAGTCAGTAAGAGTCTGACACTCCCTCCCGCCCGACCCTGGGCGGGTAAATTACTCCTGCTACGTGCCGAAGTTGCCGTATATTTACCGTTAACTTTAATACTACAGTTGGCTGTAGGTAAATGTGAGAACATACAGTGTCCTCAATAAAAAATGTTACCACATTATATTTTATTACAAAGACTTTTTATAATTATATAATTTTTTTAATGAACGTTAGCTTACCTAATTAAGATTACGGTCGGTCATAGGTCGCGCGAGTTTATGTCAACACTATTATTTCCTGTGCGATTGTGTGAGTCACACACTCAGAGTAAACAATACGGCGTATGCGTACGTATTCATTTACACATATAGATATCTGTACACATACATATAAAAAATTAATTGCAAAATGTGTTTGTCAGCGCATAACTCAACAACGACTGGACCGATTTGTTATTTCATATCATCAGCCGAATAGTGTCCTCTGCTAAACAAAGGCCTCTTCTCACACGTATAAGGTTTAAGTGTTAATCATCACGTTGGTTGGCGTTTTCAAACTTATATTTAGAAATTGTAAGTCCAGGTTTCCTCGCGATGTTTACTCGGACCTTCACCGTATGTTAGTGGTGTCTAAAAAATCATAGAAAGTACATATAACTGGGAAAAAGTTACATTGGTAGGTACTTACCATGGGCCACCACGACAACTATTGTTCCTGATTGTTATTTTCACAACGTTAACTAATATTACTTTAGCTTTTCAGAGAAGACTATAATATTGAATTCCTTAATAGAGTCTAGTGTTTGGAAACACGCACGTTTATTTTATTTATTCTTAATACAGTCTTTTTATTTCGCCGTCCTTCCCATAGCCCGATAAAATTTAGCGCTAATTAAATTTGAAATGATATTGTGTTTTATCTACATTCCTAAAATTGATAAAAAATTTTGCTCCAATTAACAGGGACATCCCTGTGCTCTAATAATGTTGATCAAAAACCAAAACGATGGAGTTTCTTGCTCGTTCTTCTCCATTCGAATTAACAATTTAGAACGAAAACCTAGCTTTACTGACCCACAGACTGACAGACTACTATTCTATTTTGATGTTTCAAAAGTCTCTATTTAAAGCTTAGTTGGATTTAATGATTTTGACTTTTACTATGAAACTGCGCCTACACTTTATTACATTAAAACACATTTTTGAAAACCACTTTAATGCTTCACGAAATTGACCTTTAATGGGTCGTCAGACTCATTAAAGAAAAGCATTTGAATAATAAATGAAATTGCAGAATATTTCTTATTACCCTTTTTTATTTCGACCATGTTCGTGTACTAGATCAATAACTCGATTAATTTATTTGAGGCTTGATGAACTACTTTTTTAATCAGTTAGATTACTATTTATTTTAATAGCTTAGCTAAAGTCGAACCATTTGGCTTTTCATATCTTTTGATGATGTTATTATTGTTACTGTGTTTCTATTCCTATTCTAAAATCTAATCTGTGATATCAACTTGTATCGACCTCATTGACTATGGCCATAGCATTCCTTCCCAAAATACGCGACTATTCTCCCTTGTAGGCGGTGAATGTCTCCAGAGAGATCTCAAGAGGATTCGTGATTACTGGTTTCCATTTTTTTATTCATTTGAATGGACGATTTTTTTGTGGTGTGGGTAGAAGTTTTGGGTTCCCAGTGGCAGTCTAGGTTATAGGCTAGGAGCAAACAGAAACAAAGCCATAAACAACAACTTTTCAATAACAAACAATGTCCCATGGTCACGGCTAACTATGTACATCTGTTACCACCATAGTGCGGCAAACGAGCAGACGGATAACTTGATGGTACGCAATCGTTGGCACCGCCTATGGACACCCGTAGCACCAAAGGAATTACGAGTGCGTTGCCAGGCTTTTGAGGATTAGAGTTAAAAGATTTAGGGATTTTGCCCCCAACCCTCGGGTGGAAAGGAAGGACTGGGCCTGCGGTAACCTCATTTACACGACGAAACACAACGCCCTGGTGGTTTCACGCCAGTTTTCCGTGAGGCTGTGCTCTGGTATCACTCCGGTCAAGCCGACCCATACGTGCCGAAAAGGTTGGATCTTCGGACCTCTTTTCACGCGGGTAGCGTGGCAGTCGTCTTAGTGACTGAGCATTTAAGAAATCTAATAGAAGCAAAGAGCTCTCTCTGATAAAGCTGAATCTTTTAAGCTGCTAATCGATTCAAGTAGCCTTACTCGGTAACCATAGCAACCATTAAACTAACAACGAGTTACTTGACATACAAAGAACTCGGTATAATTGAATAAATAAAAAATAATTAAATCAACGAACGTCAATGTTGATTGCTGATTCATATCGCTGGCTATCAATTATATGTAGGGACTTTAATCTTTTCTCTTATCAATAATATGAACTACTCGTATCTACTTACGTAAACAGCCCTACACAAAGAATTTCGCAATCATTTCCTACCTGACAATAAGATTAGTTTAAGCTTTTCTAATGAATTGTATGAATATTCGAGAATCTCAATGATTTATGTTTAAAATTATATGAACATTATAATGTAGAATTTGCAGCACTAGAATTAGAAACAGAGGTTTGGTATTAGTTCAACTTGAACCAATACATTGTGATTTATTTATTTTTCTTTTTTATGTGACCGGACGTTAAAAAAGCATATGGATTACCTGATGGTAAGCGATCAGCGCCGCCCATATGGGGATTAAAGTTTTGGAGATTTATAGATTGGGGGAGGTGAAGGATAGGCGCTCTGGTATAGTCGCTCACACGGCGTAACAAAATACCGTGGTTGTTTCACGCGGGTTTCTAGTGTGGGCATGGTATTACTCCGGTCGACTCTGCCCATTCGTGCCGAAGCATGGCTCTTCCACCCTTCAATATTATTTATACAAAGACATATAGCCGTGGTGGACCGGAGGCTAAGGCGCCCGCTTCTCATGCATATCGCGGGTACAAACCTGCCAAGTACCGATATGACTTTTCAAGTAATATAAACTTTCTACACTGACAAATGGCAAAGGACAAGGGGAGGGAACCAGGACTTATACCAGGATGTTGAAATCTCTTATCCGTGTTGATTAATGCTCAAACCTTATTTGTGTAAGAAGAGGCCCCTGCTCAGCAGTAGCCACTTATAGGCTGATTGACATTGCATTCAACTCTCTCCTAAGAGGAGGTTTGCTCTACCTCAATCTATATGGCTGACCGTCGAACAACCTACTATTTTGATTACCGTAAAACGAGGTGAATAGATGTTGGCGAATTTTTCTAGTAAGTACCTATTCATCGCTGTTCTGTGTCTGTTCACCCTTCAAATTTTCTTCGTTTTACCGCTATTTCACATCTTTTGTTTCTGGAAAAGTGCTTTTCATGTAATAGTTGTGACGCACCTTTAAATCAAAGATATTCTTCTATGCGACCGACCAATCTATACTAATATTATAAAGAGGTAAGTAAAATTTGTAAGTTTGTATGTAGGGGGTAATTTTTGGAACCGCTGGTCGGATTGCCAAAATTCTTTCACTAATAGATAGCTACAATATTCCTTAGTGATATAGGCTATAAAACATCACGCTACGATTAAATGAAGCCGAGCAGCGGGTGAAACCGCACGAGAGTAGCTAGTGTCAAATATACTAGCTATATTTTACTACATCACCTATTCTGATACACAAAGGAGGCGTCCAAATAATTACACAATAATTATCAATACGATAATAACACATTACACCATTGTTACAGATACGAAAATGCCGTGCGTTTGGAAGAGCTCAAGCTGTTTGGACATCTTATCAGTCATTATAGTGCCCAGGTAATTGCTGTTTGCAGTTCTATCTTCCTTATCATTGTGTTATATGTTTGATAAATCTCAAGTATTTTATGTTATTAGTGGATCCCTTTATTCTGTAGGAATAGTTTTCTTTTAATTCTGTTCCCATTGTTGAGTCAATATGTCTGAAATTTTGATTCCTCATTTTCGTATACTAAAATGGCATATATCAAGTTTTTTGTCTAGAACGCTTTAGTTAATGATCACCTTTATAGGACAAATGAAATTGAATCCGTGAAATCAGATTTCAATAATTAATATTAAATGTTGACTGACTCTTTTTGATGGGGGATCATCACTATTGGCTTCTACCGCCTTGGATGGAGCGAGAGGGACGGGGGCAGACTATTACTGACTAAAAATTTTTTTATTTTTTTATTTTTATTTTTAAAAAAACGTTGCCCCACATTAGGATTTTCTCCTGTGTCGTGGGTGCGGTTACAAACATACAATTTCACATACACATCACACCCAGACCCGGAACAACAATTAGTGGATCACACAAAGAGTTGTTCCGTGCGGGAATCGAACCCGCGACACGTTGCACGGCAGCCAGTTGCCCGGCCACCGCACCAACCGTGCAGTCAAAAATCACCCCGTTCTTTCTCCAACTCCGGGCCGGGGCCGCTGTGCATTATTGCTGTTTTTATACTTTGACCCTTCGCCTACCGTTACAGTTTTTAAGCCTCTTGAAGGCTAATCCTCCGCTAGGGTTGGACACTACTTTCCGCTACGACGCTCATTGTGTTAAGCTTTTGTTTCTTTTACAGGTGATTGCTGCAGAGCCTTTTCTAAGACCACTGCTGAAGTTGTTAAGCGGATTCCGAAATGAATTACCTCCACCTAATCTTGAGAGTAAGTTATATTTTTTATTTAAGTATTACATTTTTTAAAAGCCTACATCTGCCAACGTTCAAGCTGTTCCAACAAGATGCTCACAATATGTTTATGATAATAATGGATGGCTAATTAAGTGTCCACATGAGTAACTAATAGTCCTCCTAAGGCTTCCTGGGATCGACCTTAGCACCGGGATTAATTGTTTGGAAAGTCAGTTAAAATTTGTCTATTACAGCATTTTTATTCTTGGCTTCCAACAAAAGTTTTCGTATTCTTTTCAAATGAATACCAAGTGTAGATTTCCAAGAATCTGAGTTTTCTATGAGTAATATTATTATCTAAGGTGTGGATGGCGATATCTCGTGTGACCAGATTATCATGTGCAATAGTTATTGATAAAGATCAAGATGTAGTTTATCTTTGTTTGTATTTACTGCAAAGGACATTGTCTGGGTATATTGTAGCTTTATGTGTACTTATGCTACCTGCTAACTAGAAACTGTTCTAGTTAGAAGCGGTTTTGTATTATACCATTTTTTTACTTATGTGTAATGCTTTCTTGAGAATGTCTTGTAAGTACAATAAGGAAGATAGAGGTATACACATAAAAAAATCTCACACCAGGATTTTTAGTTGCCTTAAAAAACAGTTCGGTGTCTCTAATCAATATACCTTCGAAAGTATTTATTTGGTTCTGTAAGAAGAGAAAAATACGCGTTTTTGTGATACGAATTAATCTGAGAGAGAATTGAAATAAGAGTAATATAATCCCAATAAAACACCCCCTTTTTAAGCTATCTCGCCCGTTAGTAAATGGTACTTTTCGATAAAAAAATTCAGACTATAGACACAGCATGAAATATAACAATTAGCCATCTATTATTTGTAAGCAATCAGCACCGCCCATGGACATCCGCAACTCTGAAGAGTTACAAGTACATGACCGGTCTTTTGGGGGTTAGGGATTCGGGATATGGAGGTGGGGGGAGAACGGTTTGTCTTACAGAAACAAGTATTGACTAACTTTATATTTATGTGTTTCCAGGTCAGCTAGTGACAGTACTGAACCAGCTGTGCGTGGCGTTGATGCAGAATATAAAGTTCTTAGATCTGTTCTTCCTAACCACGCACACGCAGAGAGGATCGCAAGCCGAGTAAGTTGAACATATTATTTTTTTTTGTTTTCGTTCTAATGTTAGCGTTCCTTTTTCTTCTTTCTTTGAGGTTTTTCTTTATCAACTGTTATTCTCATAACACACCTGTCAAGGAGAGGCAAAGTGGTATTTAACTTAATTAAATTTGTATACAATTTTTTGCATTTGATTAAAAAGCCTATTATAGTCATAAATATGAGCCCTAATATAACTTGAAATCAATCTAACTTTCCTCGAATAGTTTTGTATGGGATAAATGGTACTATAAGATAAGCACTCACCTGCAAAAGTAAGATTTGCAATGGTATTGCCGGTCTTTTAGAGGTTCGGGTTTTAGGGTTGGAAGAGTGGAGCAAGTCTCCGGTAACCTTACTCACACGTCGGAACATAACTCAAGCGTTGTTTCGTTGGTAATAATTCGGTCATGCCAAAGCATGGCTCTCTCACACTCAAAATGTTTTACTAGAGTAACACCCGGTTTCTAAAAGGCCGATCAATGTTAAAATCAATTTAATCTCTTGTCAAGTCATCTGATTGGTTGACTGAATTATCAACAACCAATCAGATGACTTGACAAGAGATTTAACAGGAGATTAGTTAATTTTAGCGTTGACAAGCCTTTCAGAAAGTGGGTGTCAGTCATTAATATTTTAATTATTTTCGTACTTCCCAGGTTCATAATAGTCCGTCTCCTTCTATCCTCGGTCCACCGCGAGGGCAGTACTGGTTCAGCGGCGCGCGATGCCTTACTGCTCTGCGCCAAGATGTCCTCCCGTTGTCCACAACTAGCAGAATTCATGTTAGCAGGAAATACTTGTCCTGTTCTCGCTACTGGTGAGTGGTACAAAGAAAATGGAGTCTTATAACGTTCTTTTTATAGTTCAGTTTCGTTTTATGATTGTTGATTTTGAAACAGAGCTTGATGGAAATAAGAAAATGTTTTTTTTTTAATATCTATGTAATATTAGTTTACGCATGTTGAGTCATGCGTTCGAGAAGATATTGATAGCCAAATCCGAGATCTCGGTTCATATACAACTGGCGCATCCAGTTTATGTAAATGAACCAACTAACTTTACTCAAAGTTTCACAGATTTGCAATTTCTCATCTTACAGTTTGATTATCTAGGCAGCTAAAATTCTTAGCATTTACTAATGTTGCCAAAAACACACAGAACGACCAAGTTAATTTGTATATTAGGTTAAAAGTCCAACGATATAATTACAAAGCAAAATTCAACCCAATGTTCTCAACAATAAAGTGCATTATCTCCAACAGGTCTAAGCGGTCTGTACTCCCTTTTACCTCGCACCCTCAACGACCAAGTATACCGGCTGACCCCCGACGACGTGAACCACGTACACAAGCTGACGCTGTTCATCGACTCGCTGGAATTCTGTAATGCTGTGGCGCAGGTACGCATTCAAATATTGCAACATTATTTTGTACTATTTTTTGTCATACTAGCTACTCTCGCGCGATTTCACTCGCTGCTCAGCTCCATTTATTATTAGCGTGATGTTTTATAGCCTATAGCACTCAGGAACATCAACTATCTATCAGTGAAAGAATTTTGTAAATCCGACCAGCGGTTCCAAAGATTACCCCCTACATACAGACTTACAAACATACAAACATACATTTTTTTTTGTGTTTGTTAGTCCATTTATCGAGGGAGGCTATAGGCTATAAAACATCACGCTACCACCTGTAGGAGCCGGGCAGAGGGTGAAACCGCGCAAAACCGCGAAAAAATGAAAATTGTATTGCCACAATAATAAGTAACCTTTTTAATTTTTGTCCCTTCAGGTAGCCCATCCCTCCATAAAGAAACACCTCCTAGACTTGTTGTACCAAGGGTTCCTAGTGCCGGTGATGGGCCCAGCGCTACTACAGGTAAGCGCCAAAGTCCGCCATATTGCCAAACTGCGATAAAATGCGCGGGAGTGGGATTAAACGACATTTTGTTTTGTTTTCGCGTTGCCAGCCTGTTTTGTTTGTAATGCAAAGGAATTTGTTATGGATATGTTACAGAATATAGTGAAACTTTAAAAAGATTATGCTATGAAGGTTTAATAAGTTAAACTGTATTTTTTTTTAATTAGGATCAATAAAAAAATTCTTCAGATAGCCAATCTATGATTTTGGTTGCAAAGTTCTCTAAAATTTATTTCACTGCATAGTTGACGCTGTGGCTGGGCAACTGGCTGCCGTGTAACGTGTCGCGGATTCGATTTCTCGCGGATTGATCCACTAATTGTTATTTCGAGTCTAGGCGTGATGTGTGTATGAAATTGTATGTTTCTAATCACAAACCTTTAAAAACTCGTAGTAAGGGTCAAAGTATAAAAAAAAAATATAATTTCGATGTTAAGTATTAGTGTTTTCAAATTCATATCCATAACAAAATCCTGGTTGACTCATAATAAAGGTTTTCATTCAGTAATTTATTTTCATAATACTGATCATATTTTATTATAAGTACTGTATTTACATAGCTACACCGAAAATAATCCAGTCTACAATTCCTTTCATACATATCTACTTCACAAAAATACACCAACAATCTTAATCTAAAAATTCTGTTTATAAAATTTAAACTTTATGTTGTATAATATAAAGTCTGTAATACTTCCAAAACACAAACACATTAAGCACATTTTATCTTAACATACTAATAACACAAAATTACTAACTTCAGTCTTTCTTTCAGTTTTAGACAGGTGAGAATAATATGTCCTTGTTAGCACATAAATAGATTTTTTATTATCAACTCTATACTTAATAACATTCGGATTTAATTTAACATTTCAAGTAATCTCTGAGCAAGAAACTTTGTCATGACATTGAAAAATAAACTTTTTGTTTATAACTTTAAGTTCTCTTTTCAATGACTCACTAGGTATACATGTCTCAGTTCGTGAAATGGTCGTATTTTATATAGCTAAGTGTCTATTGGGCCGTATTACATTATGGATTCGACGGCTCACTTCGCTTCCGTTTAAAAAACTCCGAAAAACTCGTGAAATGTTGACGATTTAATTTACTGATGAAATTATTTTCGTATACTTAAGTAGTATTGTAAATAATGGCATTTTAGCCACCATTTCTGAAGTGAGCAAGTCTGCTATGCTGCCACGACTTATTTATACACAAATATCTAAAGTGTAAACTTGTACACTTGTGTTAAGTTTTCTACTTTAAACTATATAAAAATAAGGTTTATTTTCCAATGTTATCAGAAAATTTAATTTGAAAAATTTCACAATTATATTTATTAAATATGTTTATTATATCGAGTTTGCATCGTGTGTTCTCATAAAATCATGTGTTTGTACCATTAATTAATTATTATAGTTATTATATTGATTAAATACTTACATATAATGGAGTTTAGTGTGAAGAATATTAAGTGACCTTTTTGTTAACATTTTATGATCAAAATATATTATGACTTTTACGCTGATTGTAATTTTCTTATAACAAAGCTCATTTAAAAATCATCCTTATCAACCTTACCATAAAAGTCATAATGCATTTTATTATTTTTAAATGAAAAGCACATTCCAGTACTCAATATAAAAGAATATAAATTAAAATTAGAAATTTATTATTTACAATTAGAAATTCTTTATTTACTCCGAAACGTATTGAATCGATTTGTTAAAATTATTCTCATTGTAGATCATTGCATTAATAAAAAGTTAAACTACTGGAATGTGCTCTAGTTTGAATATGTTCTACGGTATAACATCACGCAAGTGGGCTTTCATTGCACGCGGGTCGCACCGGTATTGGCCATGTCGACAGCGGTTTAGTGACGGTAACCATCCTTTGATTGATTCATCGCTGGACGAATTCAACTCTACCATCCGTATAATATACCATTCATTTTACTTTTCAATTGTGGTAGTGTAAACTGAACCCTATGTAGGCATGTGTAGGGTTCACTTTATTGCAATTCTCGGAAAGTCGCACAATTAGGTGAGTTTAACATTAGTTCGCTTGGGGTTTGATGGATTAAATCAGAAGAACAACGACAGTCAAATTTCAATTACACCAAAAAGGGGCAAGTGAAGTGTTTTTAAGTTTCTAAGTTTATTATCTTATTTACAAAAAAAAATAGAAGCTAACTTCCTTCTTTCTATGGTTAATATAAAATATCCAACTTTACAATGTGTTCGCGCGCCTGATGGTTTTTTCAGAGCAACAACTTACGCTCATGAAATGTATAAATTGTGAAGAATTCTGAAAATTACCCCACTTGCAATACTTAACTCTTGTAGTTAGCACCCATTAAAGTTAATTAATTTAAAACCGTGTTCGAGTATATTTTTCCTGAAGTCCATCCACATCAACCCTGGTTCCGTACATGGTCCGTATCGAGCCTGATGACACTAACTAAAGAGGAAATCAGCGATTTTATCTGAAGAGGAATCAAGTACTGAAATTTTCCACCGTGACGTGGAGATTTGCCGGTGGATTGGATTGAGTTCGAACAAATGGTTTTAGCGGTGTACAGTATTTTAAATAACTAATATCATCACCCAACACTCAGGTAGTATATAAGTAAATTATATTTAAGGTCAGTAATATTTATTTAACTACTTATTGTATTTGTTTGATCATTAGAATCATTAGATATTCTTTTACATTGTGATTAGTATTTTAACAGTAAATCTTAAGTTTAAATTATACTCACTGCAGTATAGTTAGTTAATTGCTACATTATTTAAATTTAATTTAATCAAAGCTGTAACTATTTCACATAATTTATAACTACTTAGTAGATATAATTATTAGCAGGTATCTTGACATAATACAAATAATTTGAGTGTTAGATATTAGTGCAAGTCATTGTAAAAATTCAACAAGTTATTAGTAATTTAGAATCGTTTATGTAATAAGTAGGAATTAGTATTTTAATTGAATTAATTGTGCTCATTTATTTAGTTTATATAAAAGTTTACAACATTATAAATTGTAGGTAGTTTTACGAAAAGTTATACAATATTAATTTACTTATTTTGTAATTGTTATTAATTTGTAGGTTCTGTGTCGCTTTATAAAAGCATTTGGGCAGTGTATAAAACACAGTTAGGTGTGTCTTAGTCATATTGTTTGCTAGGTTTAATTGTATTCCTGTATCTATTCCAGGTTGACAATACTCATCTCCCAGTATGTCCGAGGAAAGGGATTTAATTAAAAAGCGCGGCAGCTTTAAGGGTCGCTTGACTGCTTTCGTCACCTTCCTGGACTCACTCAAGGACAAAGTATTAAGTAGTTGTGATGTGTCCGAGTTGCAGTTGCGCATGGGTAAGATGGAGTCATTGTACGAACAATATGATGAGGTGCAGTTGCGTCTGGAATGCATTGCTGACGATATTAAGGTACATAATTCCGAGCGTACCGAGTTCGAGTCACTTTATTACAAAGCGTTGTCCAGAGCGCAAACCACTCTCAATGACAGTAACAAAGAGGATAAGTCGATGGAAAGCTGTAGGAGTACACTTGCTAGCATACACAAACCAGTAAAATTACCAACGATACAATTACCAAAGTTTAGCGGGTCATATTGCAATTGGTTGGAATTTCGTGATACCTTCACTAGTCTAATTCACAGTAACGACGAAATTGATGAGGTTAACAAATTCCACTACCTAAGAGCCTCTCTTGAGGGACCTGCTGCCGTCATCATCAAGTCAATTGAGTTTTCTTCGAGCAATTACTCTGTGGCATGGAGTTTGTTACTCGATCGATTTGACAACAAACGATTATTAGCGCAAAATCATGTGTCTGCCTTGTATCACATTGATGCGGTTACAAAGGAATCGTCGGTTGCTCTCAAAGGATTAATCGATCAATTAAATAAGGACTTGCGAGCATTAGAGTCGTTAGGTGAGCCTGTAAAGCACTGGGACACTTTTTTGATATACCACGTCACTCAAAAAATTGATCATAGGACCTATCGTGAATGGGAGGAGTTTAAGGGTAGGATTGACAAAGAAAGTTCGATTACGTTCGATATGTTCATGCAATTCCTACGCACTCGAGCCGATTTGATCGAGAACTTAGAACGCCTTCAAACTAATAATAATAATTCGCAAACGGCAGGTAGATCCAACCCTAAGATCAAGTCGATGTTGGTTAATCAACCTCATAATAGTCCCAGCATCGAAACAGCTCCCAAAGTATGTCCTAAATGTAACAGTAATCACACATTAAATAATTGTCCACAGTTTCTCGCATTAAGCGTTGATGCTCGTATTAAACTTCTACCTACTTATAAGATTTGTTTTAATTGTTTTCGGTCAGGTCACTTCGCTAACAAATGTAAAAAAGCCGGTTGTAAACTATGTAAGCGTAGGCACAACACACTAATTCACATCAATTCTAAAGATAACATTATCGCAAATACACACAGTGGCAATTCGTCTAACAATAACTTGTCTTCATCATCCGTACCGTCTGCTACCACAGACACGAATAACGTTACGTTGTCAGCACACATTGCATCCTCTCAAGGTCATACGCAGCGTGATGTTTTGCTATCGACCGCATTGGTCAAACTACGGGATCAAACTGGCTGTGTGCATGTCGTTCGCTCGGTCCTAGACAGCGGTAGCACTTCGTCATTCATAACGGAACGGTTATGTAAAAAACTTAATTTATTCACGAGCCAGGTAAACAAATTTATACTTGGCATAAATAATGTTTCTTCGCACGTAGGTAAAACATGTCGAGTTGATATGACGTCTTTGGATGATCATTTTAATTTCAACCTTCATTGTTTGGTTTTGCCATTTATCACGAGTGAGGTACCGTGCCGTGAAATAAATATTAATAATTTCGATCTACCTTCGAATATCACTTTAGCTGATCCTAAGTTTTATGAACCCGCTGATGTTGATTTATTAATCGGCGCTGATCTGTTTTGGAAGTTATTAGGATCACAAAAATTAGAATTAGGTAATGGAAAGCCAATATTATATAAAACCCATTTAGGATGGATAGTTTCCGGTCCAATTCTTACTAATGATTTAAAATGTAATTTTTGTAAAGATGTTTCCCATGATCATAAATATGTTAGTTCATTTGATTTGCCAGAACAAAGATTATGTGAGAAAGAACCTTCAATTCTGGGAGATTCTTTCAAGAAAGCAACACACTGCTGCCTATCATTAGTCTCGCGGGACTTGCCTGCTTCGATTGACGTAGATATTGCACCTCACGAGCCCGACAAGTTACTTGGTGTGGGTCGGTATCCCGCTTCCGATGATTTAGGGTTTCCTAAAATTCCGAGCGAGTCCTTGGCTAGGCATAGTGAACGCGATTTATTATCATTGATACGAAAAGTGATTACATTAGTGCTTTCATTTATTTTAGTCGTTATTATAATTTATTTACTTTAAGATTTATTTAATCATATAGGAAACAATACATTTATTTTTTGTTTCATGTTAATAAAACCCACCTTATCTCATTACAGTCCACTCATCAGTTTACAAAATTATTGTTTAATTTCGAGCATATATGACTGATGCACGCTGGCCCACATTTGCTATTAGCTCCCATAAGGGAATCATACTGGCCAAGAAGGTCGCAACTTGGCGAAGACTTGTACTCATAAGTGTGTTCCATGTCGCCGCATGAAGGGACGGGTAGTTAGTCCTATACTGGGCAACTTACCACGAGAACGACTTCGTCCAGGTTATCCCTTTGAGAGCACCGGCGTTGGTTATGCCGAGCCTATTATTGTGTGCTAGTCGTCGGGGTTACGGATTCAGGCTGGTGAAGGTGCATGTAGGATTTTTTATATGTTTTCCGATCAAACCCATTCATTTGGTGTCAACTCGTTGGCGATTTAATTAGTAAGGGTTATTTACTAGCGTTGCATCGATTGATTGCTTGAGGAGGTACATAAGCCCGTTGATATTTTTTCGGACAACGGTATCTCATTTATCGGTGCGTACAATGACCTTTCTAATTTCTAAAGGAAAATACTTTGGCCTTGGGTGAAAGTGCCGCGAATGACGGAATTAAAATTTCATTTTTATCCCTGCGTACATCCCGCACTTCGGTACCTTCTGGGAGGCGAGTGTAGTCGACAAGGTACATCGTCAAACGAGTGTTGGGACATTGTATTTTAATTTTTATAAACTGTAAACCTCACTGACTGAAATCGAAGCCATTTCGAACTCTCATCCACTAACGCCCCTATCTTCAGATCCTGCAGATTGCACACCGCTGACGCGCAACCTTGCTTGTGGTGATTAAGGAGGATAATTTCCCTCCGTTGAAGTGGAGACTTGGCCGTGTGGTGGCGGTTCACCCAGAAACAGACGACATCGCTTGTGTTGCTGACATCCAGACGGCCACTGGCATCGTACGAGGGGCATTCAACTGAGTCGGCCCACTACTTGTGACTTCGGAGTTTGGTTGAAACCGTTGCTTTCAACGCCCGGGGGCATGTTCGCGCGCCTGATGGTTTTTTCAGAGCAACAACTTACGCTCATGAAATGTATAAATTGTGAAGAATTCTGAAAATTACCCCACTTGCAATACTTAACTCTTGTAGTTAGCACCCATTAAAGTTAATTAATTTAAAACCGTGTTCGAGTATATTTTTCCTAAGTCCATCCACATCAACCCTGGTTCCGTACACAATGTTCTGAAGATTAACACTTTTATTCCATTGGTTTTGGACTTATATTAAACAATCGTCCAAATAATAACTGGTTTGGTATCTCATTTTGGTGATGGAAGGAACTATGTACTGTTGTGTGTGTTTTCTTGTTGTTTTTCTGCTTCTTTATGAGTGACGTCCTTATATTATCAAAGGTGGTAACATTTTGATGTTGATATAAGTAAATTCTGATTTAATTGTATTAATAGTTTCTGTCCAAGCAATGAATCGATTAAATTCCTCCATGTTGGTGGTAGTAGTCTAACCTTTTTTCTGTTACTTCGTTTGTTTAAAACCTCCTTTAAAATCTCTCAGTTATATCTAACCTATTCTTTCCAGCACCTCCTTTTGATACAACTAAACTATTAACTACACTAATTTTGAATACAAAATAGTTTTATTAAAACTAACAATTAATGAAAAATTTTATTTGACAAAATTAAAAGTCATTATTCACCTTAAAGTGAAAAGAAACAGAATCGAGTCATAAAAACTAGATACTTATATATAAAAAAACGGATAAAATCCATTTATAATTCACAATAACTTCGTAAAAGCGACAACACCATCCAATTTTCGAACCACCACCTCAGTTTTTCACCTTCCTTATCCTTAAAACTGTCACTCAACCGCGAAACGTACTGTATAAAGAAGCCTACTAACGTGGAACATACCGTAGACGAAAGGGGCGACGTTGCAGAGTGGCGCGGCGGAACAAGCGGCTGCAATGGCGTACCTCGAACTACTATTACGGTGCGTCACAAGACGAGGTCTTCTAAGAGCAGTCCTTCATTTCCTCTTTGTGTACGAGTATGATGGAGTTAGAGTTGTCGATGTGTTGCTTAGAAGACTCGAGGGCAATTCTCAGGTTAGTTGTTAAATTTGTTTTCTTTTTTAGAATGCGTAGTCTTTTATTAGGCAGACAGTGCTTGTGAGTCTTCTGGAGTGTCTAGCCTAGTGTTGACCGCTAATAAAAATAGTTTGGAAATACGTCAAGAATGAAGGCTGGTGGATTTGACGACTTTTTGCTTTGACTTGTTATACAATAAAGCAACCTTACCTTACAATTGCGAGTACCTACAAAAAAAGATTCATTTATTACTGGATAGAAGATTTTTTACTATGAAACTCATTATTACATAGGTAATAAACGTGTTTTATAATTTAATCTACATATTCCAGCTATCACTAGTCTCCTTGGCTCTAATGGAGACATTAATCGACCTTAATTGTGAAGATGTGATGGTAGACCTGGTCTTCAAGCACCTTCTCAACGGCCACCACCTCATGGTCGCCTATAGACACAAGATAGCTGATCCAGAGCCCTACAGAGACGCGGCTATCGCGTTCCTGGGACTCTCTCCTAGGTGTTGCTCGAGGCCGATGGAGATGGTAAGTTTTATTTATTAATAAAAGGAAAAACAGACTAACTGACAAATCAACACACAGACTAGACTAGGTGAGGGTTGCGTCAAGCGCAGTAATATACCGAAGCCCGGGGCTAAAGTTGAAAAGAAATGGGGTAGTTTTTAGTCTAGAAGCGTCTGGCACTCCCACAAAACAAAAGCCTAGACTATGTAAAAATTGACCCGGGGTTGCGGGGTAAGCGCAATGAGGTACCGCAACCTCGGCACAGAGCAGGAGAAGGAACAGGGGGGTTTTTAGTCAGTAAGAGTCTGACACTCCCTCCTGCCCGGCCCTGGGCGGGAGAAGTCATTTGATGATTTTCCCCTCACAAAAAAAAAGACGTATGTAAAAATTGATATAAAAGGGTGCGGTGGTTTTAATGAAACTTCATTAATTTTAATTATATTTTTTTTTATTTTATTTTTTTAAGTAATAAATCGGCAAACGAACAAACGGATTAACCTGATGGTAAGCAACCAGCGTCGCCCATGGACACCCGCACCCGCAAGGAGGAGTTACGAGTCCATTGCCGACCTTTTAGGGATTAGGGGTTTGGAGATTTTGATTTAGAATTGGGGGAGGGAAAGAATTGGGCCTCTGGTAACCTCACTCACACGGCCAAACACAACGCTGTAGTTGTTTCTCGCCGGTTTTCTAAGGCCGTTGTATCACTCCGGTCGAGCCGACCCATTCGTGCCGAAGCTATGGCTCTCCCACACACAAAATGATAAAAACTGGCATTAGGTTAGGTTAGGTTAGGTTAGGTTAGGTTAATCGGGTAGGGTAATCGGTTGAAAACTAAGGCATGTGAGCTTGTCAATTTTGAATAAATGCCTTTTAGACGTAAAGGTTGAGTTTGTAGTCAATCTAAATCTAAAATTAAATTAATTTTATTGTAAATATAATGCAATAAAACCTTTTTCTAGACAAAGCAATGGATAGAGGAGCTAGCAATGAGTGGGCGTCGTGTCCTTGATCTGAAGAGTGACAACGAGAGACGGGTGAATGGACTCCACGACGATATCGCCATGAGCAGTTTGGTACACGAAATTAAAGTCAATTATGGGGTGAGTACATTGAAATATAGTCTCTATGTCATTGGTTTGTGGGTTATATTTGTGTGATAATTTAATTGAATTTAATTACATATTAATCTACAGTGTATATGGTATACATATACTATGTAGTTCAGCAAAACGTATAATTCAATTATATTTACCGAGTTATATTATTATGCTCTTTCTAAGTTTATTTAGACACCAATCCTTTGTACATGCTTGACGATGATTTCTTAAACCGTTTCCGTGTGGGAAGAGTTCAGTATTGAACATTCATAGGCTGATGATGATACTGTGTAGTTATACATATCTGTATATCGTCGACTATCTAATTATAAACCCGTCCGTTACAACCGATATTTAACATACATAAAGTATGTCTTTTGGTCGTTATATTAAACATTCGATCACTGTAGCTCTGAACAAAAAACAGACCAATGACAAAATCACGTGGCAACTCTAAAGTTTGTAAAAGAGCGGGCACACGCGGAACCGGACGCAGCCGTGGGTCGTCCAGTACACTTATGAGGGGATAAAGAAAAAGAAAAATGTGAGGGTTTCTTCAAAAATATTAATATAAAATATTAAAGAATAAAGTGCCGTAATAGATTAATAAAGATTTATTATATTTATACTTTGTTACTTATACACTTTTACCTTCTAGAACCCTAACGACACACTATTCGGCAACTACCACGCCTACATCTGCGACTCACGATTCGAAATAGTTTCCCGCGTACTTGCCTGCAGTAACTGGAGCTCGCGATACGACAGCGTCACGCCCCCTAAAAGAGAAACAAACAATAATACAAAAGAAACGAAAGAGATAGAAATAGTCACACCTAAAGAGCAGGACAGCCTAATTTCTTGTACGAGCGGATACGAGACGAAAACAAGTGACAGTTCAGAAAAAGAACAACATAGTTTGACGTCACTGAATGAGCAAGAGAATGAAGTGAAGACCGAATTGAATGAAGTAAAGGAACATGATAGTTTGACGTCTACAGGAGAGAGTAGTGGTTATGAGAGCTTTAAGTACAAAGATGGGGAGGGGGATGAAGGTTTCGCTGAGGAACTGTTCCGGAGGAGTTTTGTGAAGAAAGAAGATAATGGTTACGAAGGAGAGGTGCCTTTGATAAGAAGCTGGAGGGCCAGTGCTGAATCAATTATTGGTGAGTCTCTACTTTTCTTACTCCTCTTTACTTTTATGTGTTAAAACAGAAATAGTTGTAACGGATGAGCCGTTAAAATTAATTTATTTGGCCACATTTGCATTAAAAAATATATTCACATGAAGTAAAAAATTCAACACAGAAAAACTCTTTGATTTAAAAGCCAACTGCTTATGAAGGGGGATTGGGGGTCAGGTGAACAGAGTGGTATTTGAGAATTTGCTTTAAAAGACACATTTATAACGTTCAGCGGTCTGATTGGTCTGTTCCAATTTATCCAACCAATTAGATGGCTAAACATACTGATGAACTTTATCAAAAATTTCCACTAGGCATGTATGTAAGAATAATTTTTGTAAAAATTCTTTTTGTGTTTGTCAGTCCATTTATCGGTTAAGGCTTAGGCTAAAAACACGCTACGATCTGTAGGGGCTGAGCAGTGAATGAAGAGCAAGAGTAGCTAGTTATTTATAATTTAAATTAATTCACCTCTTTTATACCCAGGCCCATTACTAGCCAGCCTTCTGAAGAAGACAGCGGCTCTCCTAGAATCGGAAGTGATAGTGAACTGCCGAGTCACCAGCGTAATCTCCAAGTTAGCCTCGTTACCTACACCTCTGCTTACCTCCCTGTTGCTGTGTCCCGGATTCGTATTGCAACCGAACGTGCCTTCTTTGTTTCAAGTAAGTTTTTGTAGAATTATTTACATAAAAGTTTTAAAAACATGCAGAACGAAATATTGTTTTTTATAATTTAAATAAGAATATCTATTTTTTTCGAATTATAACGTTAATATTTTGCGGATAATGACGTCGGAAAATAAATCGTGTTGAAACAGCTTTTGATAGAAGTTTGCAATTTATTGAAAACAACTAGTTACTTACGTGAATAAGAGTAATCTCTTATTCGTGTAATATTTTATTAAATTAATTTTAATTTATTTAATAAATGGCGAATCAACAGCTACATTATACTACTTTAATAATACTATTAAATTTGAATAATGTAGCTTTATTAGTATAATCTTGAATTAGAGTTCAAGTCACAAGGACTTAAAACCAATAGAGCTTTTCTCAGTTAGTTCATGTTTAGTACTTCACAAAAGTTACCTTTCAAAAGAGAAACATTAAATTTTTTTTAATACTTTTCCTCAGATTCTTAGTAAATTAAAAGAAGAAGTCGACGAGTTGACAGAAGGTATTGACAACACAGGCGAACTGGTGGACAAGGCGCGTGTTTACCTCATACAGCGAGAGATGGCGTTAGTGAAAACAAGGGGTCCGACAAATGATGATAGTAAGTGTACATTTAGTAACTTATAGTTATAAAAATTTGTTTGTGACGATAGAATTGTAAAAGTGGTCATAGAGTGACAGTTCAGATAATTTTTGATCTTTTTTTTTCTCTTCAAAATTATTTGATCCGTCGTAGTTTTTAATATAATTTTTGTATTGTAAAAAATACATGTGTTGTCGCGCTCAATACGTCTTGTAAATATTTCCCAAGTCTATGCTCTTTAGCATTTCATACAATCGATTGTTTGTTGACTAATACTTTGTAATAGTTAAAGGAACATTGTATAAAAACATTTGTCTTACAGGTCACGGCCACGACTCACCGTCCCAGAAATCGGACGACTCGCCATTCCGACGTGTCGAGGCGAAACGTCGCAGTCTCTCCAATAGTATATCTAACATGTTTGGAAGGAGATTATCTTGTAAGTTGAACATTAACTTTTCATAATCGAGGACTGCAAATATGATAATGCAGTAAAGGGTTACCGGTTCTATACTTATATTCCAGGTTTAGGTATTATCTAAATTAAAAGTTGATGAGACCGACTTCAAAAAATTTAAACAGCGTTACTCACTCGCTTATAATTACAATAAGCTAAATAAAAAACAGGAGCTCTTTGAGAATATCTTGAGCTACACCTTTGAGAAACAGTGTTTGTTTATTGATTTCGCGTCTTATTTACAAATGGCTCATAAATTCATTTATTTTTCAGCTTCATCGCCATCCCAGCATCACATGCACAGTCCACAGCCCCACACATACGCTAGTCCACAAAAACGACCGGTGTTCACACAGGAAACATATTGGAACCAATCTATAACACTACGCTCAATACTAAACGCCGTCATACTCGACGAATGGCTCAAAGAATTAGCTGCGTTATGCGAAGAACATGCGTTAAGACTTTCAGCTAACTACTACGAAGACGAGAGCTACGTCCAGGCAGTCGCCTTATGACTGAGAGCCAAAACCGCTGAAGGCATTTACCTCAAAAGAAATGCCCTCAACGGAAAAACAAATGACACATTTGTTTGAATGCAATTCGCCATAATAACGTTACTCGATAGCAACTATCGATTCTTTAGTCGATTTTACGATTGGTGTTCAATACTATACATAATCGACTAATTTGTTGAATTGTGTAGTGTTCACACTGTTTGGGCGGTAATCACAAAAGTCCGTGTGTTTTCGAAACATGTGATTTGTACCGTGTGTGTTGACAGTTGCCTTTTAAGTATAGCAGGAATTTACAACGTAATGTAAATAGTAAAGTAAGGGTCGAACAGTTTTACGAGTAAGTGACGACATTTGAACGTTAACGATTTTTTCTACAAACATTGTTTTAGGTGTCAATAGCAAGTAGTATTTAATATATTAATAATAGTGTAGATAAATTAATTTATAATTTTTTATAATAATCTTACACAATTACTAAAATTATACTTCCCGTAACTAGAGCTTTTTAATCGCGAGAGAAACGATCGTGTCTTTAATACATTCAATTAAATCGTTAATGTTCTAATTTCAAAAGTGTTGAATGAGTTTTTACGAACAAAAAACAATCAATTATTTTAGATTGTACCGCGTGTACACTTTATTTAGTTGTAGCAAGCATCACATACTTAATCTAAGTACCTAACTTCACTAGAATAGTTTAGTTTCAATTATTTTTTAAAACGTTAAACTAGATTGCCATCAACGTAATTTTGAACTGTGATTTATGTAATGTTCAAAAAAAATTATTATTATATATGTAATAAAATTGCTAAATATTTAATTAATGTGAAAATGAGAAGGATAATTTTTTCTGTGTGGTATTATTAATTTTCATTGTCTTTTTCTATGTTTTTGACTTGTATATGTCTATAGGCATTGTTTATAAGACAAACAACGATGTTTTGGATATGCAACTATGCGTCAACCATTTTGAAGACGCAGTGATTTTAAACTTTTCAAGAGTTTTGAAGAATTTTAATTCAAAATACCTCTCTCGTTGTCAATTAATCGCAATTGATATATCTTATATAGTATAAATATATCCTATAGATATTTTCAATACAAATACTTTAATTTAACCATGACCCTTAAGGCTAACTTAGCCTAAATGCGATTCTTTGAGAGTTGATAAACTACAAGCTTTATATTTGGTTGTAATATATAATTACTACCTAACGCGTATTATAAACAGTGCCTATTCAATAATTTTATTAATATACTAACTATCTGACTTATATTTTATTTTAGAATTGAATTATTGTTTTAAAAATTAATTCTCGTTTTAATAACTTTGACTTTGTGTTTTTCGATAAAAACATAATTATATAATTATTGTGAATAATTTGTTATTTTCGTGAAACGATTATTATTTTTATGCTTTCATTGTATTTTATTTCGTTTTTTGTTTGGACTTTCGATACATTTTTTTATGAATTTATTTTGCTAGTACATATTGTATCGCTCAAAATGTTAAGGCGGTTCTACATTTGAGGTGCGTCTAAAAACTGACGAAATTTCTTGAAATGTGCAATAATCAAATGTAGCGCTGCCTTTGATTTCGTCCTCTTTAATAATTGCGAAGCGTCCGCCTCCGTCCTAAGGATGAAAATATTTTATTTAAATATTTATCTATAAATATATATATTCCGTGTCCCAAGATGTTATTCGCGCAAAATTTTACAAAAACGTGGGTGAATGTGTATACAGTGAAAACGAAATTTTATGAAAAACTTGTACTGTGATCATATTGTAAGACTAAATTGCACGAATTCAACTTTTTTCGAAAACATCGAGCCTTTAACGTTTCTGTAACTGCGATATTTTTCATTGGTGTTCAACCTTTTATAGTATTTATTCATTTTGTAAAATAATATAAGTTTAACATGCAGGTGAAATAAAATGTTTTTTACTGTGTCAATTTTATTGTATGGACCTTGCCAGCTTTTTTAATCTGTTTTAGGCCTCGTTTACGTTGTAAGAAGCGCGTTTTGCGATTCCTCATACATTGCTCGTGATGTTCATATGTTTGTGGTTGCACGGCGACTCGATGCTGTAATGTACGACAAACGAAATACGCGCCTCGCAACACCCCGCGTGCACGTAAGCGAGACCTATGACTTGCCATTTGATTTGATACTGTCACTTTTCCAAACCTCAAACTTAATGCAGTAATATGCACAAATCATGTATCCATGGAGTGTTTATGTTACTTGAGTTTTATATACTTAAAAAATATTTATTGATGAATTTTAATAAAGAAAATTAAATAAGGTTATTATTTTTTGTTTTTGTGCGTGATATAGATGCGGAATTGAACTTTAGAAGATATGATTGGTCCTCTTGAACTTATATTGATCACTTTGTTCTATCTCACTAAACAAATGGGTGGGTATATACATAGTACTGTTTCCAATAAGTGTCACAAGTGCAACTATAAAGCAAATAGTTCAATTGCCAGGTTGGACAAACTACGAAATTACTCATTCTAAAAGTCGGGTCCTCAACGAGTCCCTTCCGAACTTATTACAAACATGATTTTACTTCAGTCTAATCTAGATCTACACCATAGAGCCAGTTTTTTGTATTTCAAATTGAATTTAGTTTCGGTTCAAAATGCAAGACCTGACATGTTTTAAACCTAGACAATTTTAGTTCAAATGTGTTTAGAAAATACATAGTAGACATAAAATAATGTTGAACAAAAATAAATTTCATTTTTTTGTTTTTTGTTTACTTTTTGAAGTAGGTTATTTTTTATAAAAAAATATTTTTTTCTCTATTTTAAGTGATAGGCAGAGCAAGCCAGGATAATGCTTTTCGAATGAGAAGACGTCGGCTACTTGAGACCGAAAATCATGGTAATGGTATTGTCGTTGTGGAATTCCCTCGACTGTCAATGGTTTCTATCATCAGGTATACTGCAGACCTTCATTATACATAATCCATATAGGTGCAAAGTTCTCATCAATATAAATTAATTAAGTTCAAACACAACATAATTACTCCTAATAGTCAAAGAGATCTCACTTCAGTTTCCCGGCTCCATCATCAGATTTACTGCATAACTTCATTGTAACCCATATAGGTGCAAAGTTTTCATTGATATAAATGAATTAAGTCCAAACACGAGATAGTTACTGGAAACTGTTCAGGAGTTCCCTGAGTTGTCCTTCGTTCTCATCATCAGACCCTTATTGACAGTCACTACCAGTCTTGGTGCAAAGTTCTCACCAAGACGAGTTATTCAAGCCCAAAAAGGCAATTTCTCTAAATTGCTTCATCATCCGGTCGAGTTCAACCATCGGTAAGTTGACGTAAATACCTGAATAACTTCAGAAAATATATGAATCATGCCGTCTGTCCCTACAAAATTTGAAAGATCCCCTCGATTTTCCTTGGATTCCATCATCAGAATCTGAACTGGTGAATATGGGATCACGTGGAATTATGCCCTACCAAATCAGTCCAGGCGTCTTCGAGTAATCGGTGAACATACATAAAAAAAGATCCCGACGAATTGAGAACCTCCTCCTTTTTTTGAAGTCGGTTAAAAACATTTAAGCATAGTTAGTTTTCTTTAGTCGAGTTACAATTTGAAAACCCTAGTTACTATAAAATTATTTCTCTATGACTCAATGTCATGAGTCAATCAAATGTCAATCTCAATTGACAATTCACTCAATTTTATTCGAAGAATGCTTTGTAGACTTGAATGTTTTTATTTATTTTAATTCTATGAAAATAAGCAGTAATTACATATATTTTTAGTTAAGTTTTAGTGTTTTACAGTGATAATATATGTGCCGATAGATTTAAAGGAATACAATGTCGGACGACGAGGTAATGCGATTTGAAATTACCGACTATGATTTGGATAATGAATTTAATCCAAATAGAAACAGAAGAGCCAAGAAGGAGCATCAAATATATGGTAAATAATCTTATTTTGGTCAGTGGGTCGTCTTAGGGGCGTCTTATAGTTTGTAATCATACATTTTTCGTCAATATATGTCAAACACAGAGACTAAAATACCAACAATCGAAAACGATAACTATGCTTGTGATGTTTTGTAGCGTTATAAGACAAAAAAAAACAGGTAATAATGCCTTCTTATGAGGAATACTTTTATATGTACACCCTAAATTAAATTTGAATAAAAACTACAAAAGAAAAGTTGGAAAAATAAATCAAATCAAGGCATCAAAGAATTCACCCACATTAGTGTCACAAATGTCTTACCTTACTATAAAAGTATCTACTATTAAGGTAGTTTCCAACTACCTAATTCAATACTTTAATTGAAAAAATTTTACTTGATTTATTTTTAAACAGATTCTTCATTATTGATTTCCGAGTTGTGACTTATTCATTAATGTCACACATGCCATAAAAGTTGAATCAAGATTTTTTTTAATGAAACACTACTCCTAATTTAAATACTATTTCTTCTTCAGGTGTGTGGGCTAAGGACAGTGATGAGGAGGATAATGAAGATAACATTAGGCAGAGGACTCGTAAGCCTAAAGATTTCAGTGCACCCATTGGATTTGTGGCTGGGGGCGTACAACAGGCTGGCAAGAAGAAAGAAGAGTCGAAAGGTTTGTTTCAACAATAAAAAAAGATCTAAAAAGTAGAGAGTACTATTTTTGTAGTGACCAACATTGAATTAGGAATTAAGTCATGTGAATTAACTGGGAAAGCTCTACTACTTTCAAGTCATCCTGATGAGCAAAGAGTACATTGTGCAGATGACTAAATTATGAAAAGTAATAATAATAAATCGAAGGCTTTCCAACACCTTTTTTACTTAATGACTACTTTATATTTATACTTTATTAAATACTAATAATACTGCTAATACCTACTGAAATACTTTATTGTCACCATATTTTTTATGTGATGGGTCGGCAAATGAGCACACGTATTACCTGATGGTAAGCAATCAGCGCCGCCCATGGACACCCGCAACAACAGAGCACATTTAAGGATTGGAATGGAAAGGATTGGTCCTCCTTACCGGAGGACCCCTCCTTACCGGAGGACCAATCCTTTCCATTCCAATCCTTAAATGTGCTCTGTTGTTGCGGGTGTCCTCACTCACCATACGCATATTTTAGCCATATGCATGCATACCTATGGCTAGAACTCTCAACATTGATATTAACATTTTACAGAGATAGAATCATCAGAAGCATCCACGTCTCGGCCAAAGTTTGCCGACAGCTCTGATGAGGAAGAGCAAAACGCGCCAGATGCCAGTGAAACTGCAGGTATACGGAGACAGGGTCAGGGCATGCGACCAGTGAACCTGGGAGGCAATGTCGGTACTTGGGAGAAGCATACTAAAGGTATTGGAGCCAAGCTGCTGTTGAAGGTTAGTAGTTCTAGCTTTATAATTAAGTATCCGTCTGTTGAAGAAAGACATATTCGGACCGAAACATGAAGGCCAAGAACAAAAAAAAATTACGACAATAATAAAAAAAAAAACAATAAAAACTTTGAATAACAGGACAACAAAATAAAATAAAAATAAAATTAATCAAAACAATAACGTTAAAACAGCCTAACAAAGTTACAATAATACAACCCTGGGTTGGCGGACATGCCCAATCCGAATGGGTCGCCAACTCAGCAAAAGCTGGGCACAGAGCACCCAACACTGATTTTCAGTCAAACTTGTAATGTACATTATTATCCAAAATTGGAGAATCTGCCTCACATGAATACCTTTCAATCATGATACTTCGAGACCACAAAAAATAAGTTAGGGAAAGCCGGTTCGCTTGGGCTTTTATGAATTAATTGAATTATTAAATACAATTTGATATCTTCACAAATAAGTGTGGGAGAGCCATGCTTCGGCTCGACCGGAGCGATACCAAGGCCTCACAGAAAACCGGCGTGAAATAACCACAGCGTTGTGTTGCGCCGTGTGAATGAGATTACCGTAGGCCCAATCTCTGCCCAGTCCCAAAATTTCCATAACCCTAAAAAGTAACCCTTAAAGGTCGGCAACGCACTCGTAATTCCTCCGTTACGGGTGTTTATGGGCAGCGCTGATTAATTACCATCAGGTAAACCGTCTGCTCGTTTGCCGGCCGACCTATTACATAAAAGTTTCTTTCGAGCTGTTATAATTGTTAAAGAAATAAGCCTAACATTTCATTCACCATATCTACATTTCACTATAAAAACTGTATATTGTTTTCAGATGGGTTATCAACCAGGTATGGGTTTGGGTAAAGACCTGCAAGGAATCTCAGCCCCTGTCGAAGCCACGGTCAGGAGAGGAAGGGGAGCTATCGGTGCTTATGGACCGGAGAAAGCTGCGGTAAAAACAAAATTGTTTTTTGTCCTCACTTTCAGTGTGATAGATGCATTCTATATGGAAACTGGATAAAATAATACATATAGACTATTTTTATTAACCCGTTGAATGTCGGTTTATAAGACACAATAGAAAATACATTGCGTCTCGCGTGGATCCACGTTTAAGACATACGAAAGCTTAAACTATATTTTTTTTATTATAAAGAAAGACAAAATGTTTATTCATTCTCAAATTAGGGAGAAATAAGTGGGGGACAGGAATAGTATGTAACTGGTATTAATTGTGGGCACATATTATAACATCCTCAAGTTCATTCTCAAGTATGTATTGAAAATATTGAAATAGACACCAGTTTTCTATTATCGCTGGGCAACTGGCTGCCGTGCAACGTGTCGCGTGTTCGATTCCCGCACAAACAACTCGTTGTGAGATTCGCAAATTGTTGTGCCGGGTCTGGGTGTCATGTGTATCTGAATTTGTATGTTTGTAAGTGCACCCACGACACAGGACAAAACACTGGTACGGGGCAACGTTTTTTAAAAGAAAAAAATGGTATTCTCCGGGCCCCTATACTGACATAAGACTCAACATTAATTACAGCAAAAAGCAAAAAAAGAGGAAGAACTCCGTCGTTTAAAAGAGAAAGAAGAAGAAAAGGGGCCAAAAGAGAAGAATTACAACTGGAAGAAGTCACACAAAGGACGCTACTTCTATAGGGATGCGGCCGACGTTATACAAGAGGGTAAACCTTCGATGCATACTATTACCAGGTATTTAGATTTAGACGATTATTGTTGAATTTGTTTTTGGAGACTGAAGGTCAATGCACTGGACGGTTTCTGATCAGTGTATTAAGCTGTTTATAAGTGCAAAACGCTGTGCGATTTCGTTTTTTCTTCTCCTCAAATAATATCTTGTGATTTATTTCGTTGGGGGATCCAAGACAGTCATTCATGTCTCTGGGACGCGTCGGGCTTAAGTGTTCCGGTGTTTTCATGGTTGTATCTACTGTAGATCCTGGCTTACAGGAGTAGCAGCGGTTTTGGGAGGTTGTAGCGGGCATGTCCCATCAAAAAATCTTTATTTAACTACATTAAATGTACTTTGTATAATAGATGCAGACCGATCAGTCAGCTCAGATAAATCTTATTGACTCAATATCTTATCAATCAATATTCCTTGCGTCAGTCATAATGAGATACGAGATGAAATCTGTTACGACAATTTTACGGCTAGAATAGCGTAGCGAAACATTACAACAACATTAACGATAAAGAACCTATGTATCATCAAACCCCAAACAAATGCCGGCCGCCCGTTCACGCACCTGTTGTCTTACTATTGTTTCTCATATTACCACGATTCAAGGGACGATCTCCGGCCACCGTAAGCACGGGTCTGCGGACGGCGAGTAAGGGCAGCTCGCCGCCCGATCAGAACCAGGCCCGAGCGTACGGCGCGTAGCGTTCCGCGCGCGCCTCAAAGAGCCAATAGACCACCACAGACGGGGCCCTATAGAGCCGATGTTCAGCCGGGGTTGCGGGGTAAGCGCAATGAGGCGCCGCGACCTCCGCCCAGAGCAGGAGAAAGAACAGGGGGGTTTTTAGTCAGTGAGAGTCTAACACTCCTTCCCGCCCGGCTCTGGGCGGGAGAAGTCATTTGATGACTTTCCTCTCAAAAAAAACAAATGTTACCACAATTAAAAGGTTAAGTAAATTATTGGAAATTCTGTATTTAATATAATATGACCTTTTGATTTTTTTCCGCAGTAGTGAGCTTTCCCGCGTGCCGGTGATCGACATGACGGGCAAAGAGAAGCGAGTACTGAGCGGGTACCACGCACTGCGCGCGGCCGCGCCCCGCTTCGAGCACGAGCCGCGCCGACAATGTCAAAATTTCGCCGCGCCACAACTCGTACACAACCTTATGCTCATGGTGGAATGCTGTGAACAGGTAATACAGATTTTTTGGTCTTATATACTCTTTTCAGATCTTACTATAAATGCGAAAGTTACGAAATTTGGATCTTTGGATGTTTGTTACTCGATCATGCGAAAACGGCTGGACGAATCTGGTTGACATTTGGTACAGGCATAGAATACACTCCGGAATAGGACATAGGCTACTTTTTATCAACATACCACGCCAGCGAAGCCGCGGGCGGAAGCTAGATGTTAAACAATTTAAAGATTTTAATAATTACCATAAGTCTTTGTTTAGTTGACGGCTAATTCTCCGCTAGCGTCGGACACCATTTTCAATAATCATAAGCAATCGTTTTTTTCGATAGGGCCGCTAATGAGCCGACGCGCTACCTGATGGTAAACAATCGCCGCTCGAGGACACCCGCAACACTAACCCCCGGTTTCCGAAAGGCCGATCAATGTTAAAATCAATTTAATCTCTTGTCAAATCGTCTAATAGGTTGTTGATAATTCAGTCAACCAATCAGATGACTTGACAAGAGATTTAACAGGAGATTAGTTAATTTTAGCGTTGACAAGCCTTTCAGAAACCGGGTGTAAAACAGTGACGAGCGTTGCCGCCCTTCTGCCTGGATAAGGCAAGATATTCAGCTTTCGCTAACCTGACTCACATGGCGAAAGAACGCTGTAGTTGTTTCACGTCGGTTTTCTGTGTTCTCATTATTTCATTATAATTCCACAGGACATAATCCAGAACGCTCGCGAGTTACAAGCAGCGGAGGACGAGATAGTGGTCCTCGAAAGAGACCTGACGGACTGCAACACTAAGCTAGAGGAACAGGATAAAGTGATCAACAGGATGCAGGGGATATTGCAGCGAGTTGAGATGCTGAACCAACCTGATGTCTCGTTGGAGAAGGCCCATGATGTTTTGGCTGAGTTAAAGGTATGTTGTTGAGTTTTCATCTATTCAGAAATCAATTCCACTTTTCGTTGTAATGTTATAACACAACAATTCCTTTACCGATTTGGCTAGTTTTGGTCTTGAACTATTTGTAGAAGTCCAGAGAAAGTTGTAAAGAAGAAAATAAAAAATGCGAGCGACCGCTAGTTTTTTATATATGACGGGGAGGGGGAGGGGGAGGTATTTGGGCGTTCGTCTTCACTCATCTCTTAATTAAATGATATAAGGAATGTTACGATTTATTATTGAAACCGTGTTGCAAACAATGGTTAAATCAAACAATGCCCAGTTGCAAGTGGAACGCGTTGAAGTCGGTTGTACGTTGGCCCTCGTTGGGCTTGGTCCGGTCTCCCATTCAAAAAGCGCGGGTAAATCGACTCAAGTGCTTGACCGTAGACAACTGTCACTTGTCTATGACAGCTTCATAGTGTTGCCAACGCACAATCCCAATACACCCAAGTCGATGTTGACTTGACGCTCCGTCTTACTCTCCGACATATTATTATTTTTAAGTTTTTGCAACAATATGTACAATAGTGCTCTTAATGCCACAGGTATTCTTTTTTAAGTAACGTTGTGGTGGCTCGGAGGTTAAGGCGCCCGCTTCTCATGCTTGAGGGTGCGAGTGGTACCCTTGCAAGTACCAATAGACTGTTTCCGAGTTATATTTACTTTCTATGATTATTTAAATACCTTTGACATATGGTTAAGGAAAATATCGTTAAGAAACATGCGACTTATGTAAGCATGAATTTCTAATTAAAAAATGGCAAAGGCCTCTTTTCACACTGAGATTTGATTAATGCTCAAATCTCAGTGTGAAAAGAGGCCTTTGCCCAGCAGTTTATGAACTGATTTTATTATTCACAAGAAGTCTTGTAAAGAATTCATTGAAAGAAAAACTTGATTTTAATCATAATTCTTATTAATTTCAGGAAACTTATCCATTGGAGTACGATATGTTCGGGCTGGGTACTATAGCGGGTAACATAGTAAGTCCGCTCTTGAGCTCGTTGCTGGCGCCCTGGGAGCCCCTGCAGGCGCCCGACGAGCCCGTGCCCACCTTCCTCAAGTGGAAGAAACTCCTCACCGAGGAAGCCTACAACAGCTTGCTCTGGCAACACTTCGTGCCACACCTCACTACCGCTGCCGAGTCAGTCAAATTTCTATTTTAAAACCGTACCTTAAGACCACTTTTTATATTAGGTATCTGATTACCTGATGGTAAGCAAACGGCCGGCCATGGACACCAGAAAAGTTACGCGTGGCCGGCCTTTTGGGATTGGGGTTTCGGATATTTAGTAATTGAGGAGGAATGGAGGAGCGGAAGGATTGGGGCTCCAGTAACATCACTCACGTGGGGAAATACAACGCTATGGTTGTTTCACGCCGGTTTTCTGTAAGGCCGTGGTATCACTCCGGCCGAGACGACCGATTCGTGGCTCTTATCTTCCACATTTCAATACACGTATTAAGTCAACATGGACGAAATTTGAAAAAAGAGCGATAGAAAAACTACATAAACCATGTACATATATAAAGATATATATCCGATACACAATGATCTACAAATTTCTCTTTGAAATAATCTACGTAACAATATAAAACCTAATTCAAGATATAAAAATTATTATGTTCACCAGGGCTTGGAACCCCCGCACCCCGACCCCAATGCTGCGCGCGGTGGAAGCGTGGCAAAACGCGAGCCCCGACTGGGTGACACGCGCGTGCGTGAGCCGAGTCGTGGTACCACGCCTTCTCGCCGCCGTGCGGGCGTGGGACCCCACGCACGATACACAGCCCCTGCACCAATGGGTGCTGCCCTGGCATGATCTGGCTGGTACGTATTCAGCAAGTAATTACAACACTACTGTTTTAAGAATATAGAAATATGGTATTAAGTTATGAGAATATTTATATAAGATTTTTTTTTAATCTTAACCAACTAAGTTGTGTATTTTGTAAAGAGAAACAGTTTTTACCTAACAATTTGTAATAATTACTAGCTGATCCCAAACTTCATACGGCTTCAAATATTACCATTAGTAATATAAAAGTTTTTATTTAGCTTTTTTCAGTCCTTTTAATCCTGCTTATATTGAAGTATTTTAAGACCACATTAAGCCATGTCTCGAGTTTTACCGGACTAACGAACAGCAATTATTTTTTATAAATATATAAGACATAAATGTATGGTGTTCACTTAATACATAACTATTTATTGTTCCATTTATATTGAATTTATACCTTCATAGTAAACCTCTGGATAGTTCATGAGATATTACTGAAGCCTTTGTGCTTTGACGAATTGGGTAGTTTCCTAGATCAAAAATAAATTAATTCGATGTTTTAATACTATAAAATATTGAAAAATAATTATACTTTTATTCATCGATCGATCGATACACAAAGTTTTGCTAATTATTGTGAAATAAGTAAGCTATTTGACCCAAAAATGTTATGACGTCATAGCTCAGTTTTTCATACAAAATTCATAGAAAAGTATCGTTTTTGACGTTTGGATAAAACTATTGAATTTGACTAGTTGGAAACTACCGTATTAGCTTTGGTTATTATTTAGTCTCTTTATATTCTAACCTGACACATTGATAGTAGTACCAACAATAATTAATGGAATACTAACATTATATTCTCCAGGTGAAGCCCTAGCTAGTTCAGTGTACCCGCTAATAAGGTCCCGGCTGGCGACGGCGCTGGCGGCGTGGCACCCGGCGGATGGGTCGGCGCGGGGCCTCCTGCAGGCCTGGCAGGGCGCCTGGGGGCCCGCCCTCACCGCCATGCTGCATCAACACATCGTGCCAAAACTTGATCATTGTCTCACACATGCACCGCTTGAGCTTGTTGGAAGAGAGAATAGTAAGTGGTTATTTTTTCGAAGTAATTGTTAATGCCGCCATTTTAAGTATACCGTGTGAATAGAATTCGAGGGTCGAATAGACACAGAAGATTACCTATACTATTCACCCCTTTCGTGTATCTATTCACGCCTCAAATTCTATGTATACGCCCCGTCTTACGGTACTTAAGGTTATAATTTTTTTTTTTAGTAAGTTTAAGGAGAATGGTAAAACGGAATACCTGATGGTTAACAATCAGTGTCGCCCATGGATACATGTAACACTGAAAGAATAGGGATGATGACTAAAAAATTATAAAAACTTAACAAAGTTACAGAGTGGCGAAAGTTCGCGCTACGTCATTATCCGTAAAATTTTTACGAAAGAGTGACGTCACGAGCCCCTACTCCCGAATTTGAATGTGTTGTATCTTTGTCAATATTATTCGTATGGACAAATAAAAAAATACGTATCGAGTATTTTGCTATAATCTAACTGACGGACTAAATAGAAACTTGTTGTTTTAACCCAGGAGACATCCCTATTACAAGTGTGCTATAGTTCGTTCCATAATTAGAGACAACAATTGGACAACAGCAAATGTCAAACTACAAAATAATGTGGTCAGATTTTTCATGTGTCATTTCAGTGATGGGCCCGAGTACGATGTTTTAAATAAAATACCGATACCGTTTTTTATAAAATACCCTGAGCAAAATAAAACAACGTTGCGGTGATGTTTTTTATAGTTTAGTCGAATTAATAATAATAATTTAAAATAAAAATGCGAAATACAAGACTGGCTAAAAGAAAAACATTATATTTGAGGAACCTATGCTGAAAGCCGAGCTGTTGGAGATTTCCCGGAAAGAGAAGAATAATTATGAATGATACGTCGTGGACTGATGGCTGCTAAAAAGGGGTCACTATTTTACGGTTGCCTCTTTGCCATTGTGATTTTAACCCGACTGAGTTAGTATGGGCACAGGAAGGTAAAAGGGAACGTAGCTAAAAATAATAAAGCTTTTAAAATGCACAAAGTCCAGAATTTAATTTCGGTCTTTCGGTGAATACCGGTCGCGGGACTTCACTATTTATGAAATGGAAAAAACTTGCAACACTCGAAATTTCAAATCGTTGTCTCTAACTATGGAACGAACCATAGTCATTTGTCGATTATTAGGGATTTGAGGTTTATGGAAAACGGGGAAAGGGTGGGGTCTGCGCTAACTTCAGTCTTACTGCTTAATGCAACGCAACCGTTAATATATTTGATCATCAAAAAAGCTGGATTTACGGGCTCTGGACACCCGGCTTGCATATATGCAATAATTGTACTGCGGTCTGGCTCAAAACAGTAGGAACGAGATTCGAAGACATTGCGTGATTTGTCCTTCTCCAATGATTAATTTGTTTGTTATTTTGACGCGAAAGTAGTCGAATGAATATTCCGTCCCAAAGAAGGAAAAAGAGCTTGGAGTAAGTATAATATGTTGTTGTTGCAGCGGCGTGGATGTGGTGCGTGGAGTGGATGGGCCTGGTGGGGGCGAGCACGCTGGCGGCGCTGGCGGCGCGCGCGCTGCTGCCGCGGTGGCTGGCCGCGCTGGCCGCCTGGCTCAACGCCAACCCGCCGCACGCCACCGTGCTCGCCTCATACACGCACTTCAAGGTATACCCCACTCCCATTACTTCTTTAACAAATGCAGAGCCACCGACTTGCCCAGAGGAGGACACGTAAATTTTATACCAGCGCCGTGGACTCGAGTTCAACGTAAGGCCGCTATCCCACTAGGCGTTGACGTCAACGCTAGTAAAAAGCCCACGGGTGAGTCCACGGCGCTAGAATAAAATTTACGTCGCATCTGCGCAAACATAACGTGTCGCCTTTGTTGGCAACAAGTGTATGCCAAAGACTACATTTGATAGAGCAGGACGGCATGATTGTACCTGTTACCAACAAGAAAGACGCTAAACGTCAGCGTGATGTCAACGCTAGTAAAATGCCTAATGGGATAGTGGCCTTAAATGTACGAGAAATATAGATGATATCCGAGATATCATTGTGAAAATCATAATGGCAATGAATGTGTTAACCTTTCGATCATTGTCATTCATCGTAGGACATCGATGTTTATTAACAATCTCGGATCGGAACATCCCTACAGCCGCTGATCATGGCTTGACATACATACCGTTATTTGTGATTTAAAGAAAAATGCTTTAACAGCGTCGCTTTTTGGACCTAAAACCTTTCAAAAACACTTTTTTTTATAAAAGTTACCCCACTCTAGGCAATTCTCCTGTGTCGAGGATGCCTTCACACCCTGACTCGAAACAATTTGTGGATCACACAAATTGTTGTTCCATGTGGGAATCGAACCCGCGATAAGTAACACAGCAGCCATTTATCCAGCCACCGCACCAATTGCGCAGTCAAGTTATCATGTTGTACGACTTGTGTGTGATTCACAAATTGTTGTTCCGGGTCTAGGTGTCATGTGTATATGAAATTGTATGTCAGTAACTACACCCACGACTCAGGAGAAAGTTCTACTACTTCAACTTTTTTTTTAATAAAAAAACATAGTACCTAAATTAATCTTTAAAATAGTTACAGTACGCAAGAAATAAAACCACAAGAAACTCTAAAACCTTATTTCAACCAACAGAAAATGTTCCCGGAAGAAGTGCTGAAGGAGCCAGCGGTGCGAGATGCGTTTAGGAAGGCGTTGGACATGATGAATAGAAGCGCTGACATCGACGCAGTGGAGCCTCCCCCTCCACCACGCTTCGCCATGCCAGAACCCAAGGAAACTTCCAGAATCGCTGACGTCATCACCACCAGCGCTCCCACGAAGAGCTTCTCAGAGTTATTGGAAACTCGGTGCATAGAAAAGGGCATTACCTTCGTACCAATACCTGGGAAGACCAGGGAAGGAAGGCCCATATACAAAATTGGCCATCTCCAATGCTATGTCATACGCAATGTTATCATGTTTTCTGATGATAACGGCAGAATATTCAGCCCCATCAGCTTAGATAAATTGCTGAACATGGTCGAATGAAATGGAAATAAAGTTGTTTAATTATATTTTTGGGTTTCATTTGCCTTGTGTTAGATAAGTGGACTGTTTCGTGACGGATGAGACTGTTGTAAAAGGTCCGGCGCAGTTCTGGCAAAGAGCAATATTCACTATCAAACTATGATAGACATTATTGTCATTGAAATAATATCCAAAATCAAATAACCAGTAACCTACTTTTGACATGACACACTTCGATGCTGCTCAGAAGAAATTGGTGAAGTACTGACTAGCTTCGCCAGAGTTCGGTACCCGGACGTAATGTGGAATCTGATATTCCAGACAACGTTTGTATCTGCTAATTTTCATCAAAATCCACCCAGTATATTTTTACGTGAAAGAGGTACAACTGCCCATACTACACTTACAGACTTTCATTGCTATAGGTAAGAAAAGCAGCTAAGGCATTTGGCCACCAATAAGCCATGTCTGTTTATTAAATAATTAAAGAAAAAGTCACATAAATCTTTAAAACATTATAATGTAGATTAAGACACCATAACAAAACAAACAGATAATAAGTACTTACTAACAAATATTAAAAATAATTATTAAGAGAAATGTAAAATAAACAATTTAGTTAAAAATACACAAAACAAAATATGTAAAAACTATATTAAATGTAACAAGAAAAAGGAAGTTAGCCTGCGTTAGATAAATTATACGTATTAAATAACAATAATAATCTCACTAGCACACACATACTCCGTAAAAAATAAAAATAAACATATAATAACAATAACTTAAATGTAAACAGTAGCAAATGTGCAGAGCACTATGTATGAAGGCACAAAGGTGCCTTGAAGAGAGAAGTCGAGAATAGGACGCTTTGTCATTTAAGTCCCCTTAAGAGTTACCCCAGAAAACATCCACAACAGTGGATTTAGGTGCCAAAACAATACAAAAGAACCTGTATGTATTGGCCTCAAATTACATTTTAGACATGTTGGATTTAGCCGCAGTTGCGGGGTAAGCACAATGTCGTACCGCAGGAGAAGGAACGGAGGGATTTTAGTCAGTTAGAGTCTGACACTCACTACCGTCCCACCCAGGGCTTGGAGAAGTAATTTTAATGATTTTTTCCTCTAACAAGAAATACACGTTGGACCATAAGGGGGCCGTTATAAGCACAAGAGAACATTTTAAAGTATGGTGTAGCATACCTAAAGTGTTACCCACAACAAAATATATAAAGAAATATTAGGTAGCAGGCAAGGTAAAAAATTCGTGACAAATCTTTTAGTTCAACTTGTTGTGAAAAAGACAACCTACTTTACATTCCTTTACGACTGATTTTTCAATAGTCTGATAAATGATATCTAAGGAATAAATTTGTTGTTGTCACTGTCTTACACAAACATTCTGACGCGACAGCATCATAATTATTCCCCAGATAACTTTTATCTAACCATTGAAAAATCAGCCCTCAATCGGCTGACGGATTGTTTAACAAATTAATAAGTATATTGAAAGTGAACCAAAGTTATCTAAAGATCCTCGAACGTGCATTCAACTTACGCGTCGTCAATTACTGGTCCTATTCAGTAATCCAAATATATAAATTAGGTACAATTTATTGTTGAATACGATCACATGGCAGTTTTTATTTCTTTCATCGCTGTTTTATTATGTAAGTTAGGCAATTGTTTTCATGGTTTTACAGCATGGTTGTTTGTAACCAATCTTGTTTGTTCCACTAAGTTGATGGATGTTGGTGGATTCCATTGGTATAGGAATGTGATTTTAACGCTGTAATCAATCCATCTTTTGCCTAACATTTTTGATTTTATTCGATATTTCTGCTCTTCTCAGTTCTTGGTTTAAAAAAGGTATTAAGTTAGCGATACTTTTTTCGATTTCTTAAATTAAATCATTCAGTTTTCAACAACTCCTTGAGCAGTGTGACAATTCGTGTTTCTGATAGAAATATTGTTACCCATAATATGAAGAATCATCCAATTAGATATTTAAGGATATTTCTAGCTTCTATCTTTAGCGAATTTGCGCTACTTACTAATAAAGTTAAGTATCTACTGAACAGTCAGTCACTGTCTTGTAGTTTCGCTGGGTAAAATGCTTCAGACCAAGTATGCAGATTCTCTTACATTTCGTTCAACCAGATGAACCGATAAAGTTTTTCTACAACTGCAAAGATGTAGCGGTACATTCTCTATTGGGTAGTAGGCAGTATCAGCATACTTATTCTTTTTTAAATTCAGACCGCAGTACATAATGATAATTAACCTGCTGTCTCATTTATTTTATTTGGCTAAATACGGTTTTATTGTGTGCGTAGTTTTCTATTGTCAAACTCGCTTTCATCGATAAGTAGGTTGGGCTGACTTAAAAAAAAAGTAGATTTTGCAGTCAACAACATATTTCTTTGCATAGTTCTGTATGTTGTCGACGCCACAGAGAGTCAAAACACCCTTCGAAACAGTTGAGATTCACTGAGATCCGCAAAAAATACATTTAATCAAAAACTTTAAGTAGAAGATAATCGACCACACTTGCTGTGTAATATACGTTGACCTGCCTGTCTAATTCACACGCTCGCGGAAATCAAGGACATGTCTTAAATGGATCGCCTCTCAGATTATCAGGGGAGTATTTACTTAAAACATTTTTGCGTGATGGGGCGATGGCCCAGGACGACAAATTCTGGGGGGCGCCAAGGCCTAAAGTTGGAGTCTCTTGCCTCTCCTGGTGCAACCCTCAGAACTGTGCTCTACGCTCTGTGCATATGGATATTTTTTATTGAAATTTTTGAAGTGAAAACTTCTTTTTTGATGGAATGTTTGAGGGTTTGTGGTCGAGGAGTGACCCTAACGATATCAATACGATCACCATAAACAAAAACTTGATATCGCTTTCCTCAAGTGGGCGTCGCAATATTTTCGCCCGGAGTGTCAGTGGCCTTTACGCCGGCACTGGGAGTAGGTAACACCATTAAGAAAATAGCTACAAAGAAGAATACGTTCGAAATGGCTGAGCTTCTTTTTAGAAGTCTATTCTGGTCTTTTGAAAGACGAGAAGATACTTAAAGGAAAATTTAAACGACAGCGTCCAAGCAGTAAAGACAGAGGTACAAAGACACTTTACTATGTGCGGTTATATCGTTCCCTAATATTCGGCTGCAGAACCCAGCACACCCTCGTGCGCTGTAAATTAGACAACCGCTGGAAGTGATACCGTAGTATTAATGAATATACTTAAAATACTAAACTATACTAGTATAAAAACCACGTCATCTGTGACCAGTGTACAGTTTCCATTTAACTGGTGTTCAGACAAATCTCTGTTGTTTGTAGCCTAACAAGTACTCGGCAATGCCGAGGTAGTAGACTCCCTGTACGATTCCATATAGAGGTGCCAGCACAATCATACGGCACAATCCACCCTTGAACAACGCTGTTATGCCCTCGTTCCGGACCGTGGACCTGCAATGTGATTGAATGTGGAAGTAAGTATAAGTATGTTAAAGCTTTCTAGAAACATATTTAGGTAATTTACTAGCTTCCGCCCGCAGATTCGCCTGCCTTTTATGTTGATAAAAGCAACCAATGTGTTAATCCATCTATCTACACAACAAATTTCTACCAAATCGATGTAGCCGTTTTTGTGTGTAAGAATAACAAAGATAGGTACATCCATAATATTAGTAGGATTTTTTGAAGCATGTGGAGGAACTTGATGATAATGCCACGCTAGTGGCTCTCATATTCTTATATAGGTACGAGCGGCATTGCGCGATACACAACGCGGCGAATCTCTCCCAACAATTACTTGAAGAGGCCGTTAAACATGACACCATTTAGATATACTATATTATACCCTACACTAGCTTTAGCCCGCGACTTCGTTCGCGTAGAATCGTAACTTCCTGTTCCTGCAGATTTTTCGTAACTTCCCGCTCCCGCAGGATAATCGGGATAAAAACTACCCTATGTTCTTTCTCGAGTTCCAAAGTATGTCAAATCTGTTCAGATTACATGGCGTTACCATACCTCCAAATAAATAATAATATGACAACTTACGTAACGCAATCCACAACCCCTGAATATTGTCGTTCGCCAGTGCCCTTTGTGATTGTTTGCATTCGAGTCTTGATCACATCAAACGGAGTGACGGCAACGGCTGAAGTAGAGCCCGCGATATAGCCCGATACGAACGACCACCTGGTGATTATGGATAAAAGTCTCATGAATAACAATAGAACAGATTTTGAAAGAAGCTAATAAGGGTAAAACAACGAAATAATATTAGCATTGGAAAAGTTGGTGTTGACATATCAAGCGAAGTCCAGTTCCGTGGTAATTGTTGTAATTGTTGCGGGGTAAGCGCAATGAGGCTCCGCGACCCAGGCCTAGAGCAGAAGGAGCGGAGGCATTTTTAGGCAGTAAGAGTCTGACACTCCCTTCCGACTCACCCTGGGCGGGAGAAGTCATTTGATGATTTTCCCCTCACAGAAAAAGGTGACCTACTTAGTTACCAGCTTAACCTTAAGATTCTAGAGAGTAAGTTAGGCCTTGAAGGTATCTATGTATTCTCAATAGAGCGAGATATTATTTCACTCCCGGGGCAATCCCTTACACTTAGCTTATTACAGCTGAACGTGGAACGTGATTGCGTGGGTGGAGTTGATGACTTACCGTCAATCTTCCGGATGAGAAAGAGGGATGGAGCTATAAACCTTTTCTCTCCATCCCTCTTTCTCGCCCGGAAGATTCACGAATTAACACGTCATGGTAGGCCTACAGGTGTTCCGTCAGCTCCTTTGAAATAAAAATAAAGAAAAACTAAAGTAACATTGTTTCCTAAGATACTTACCAGAAAGGAGGTGTTATATCTTCTGGCCTCTGCCCCCATTTACTAATGATTGCGAACATGGGGAAGTAAATCGCACTGAAACCAATATCTCGAAGCATAGTCGCTCTCATGCCTCTATAGAATCCGAAAAAACCCCTTTCAGAATATAACTTTTTCGTTATTGCCCAGGCTGATTGTCGTTCAGGTATTTTTCCTCCGGCTGAAAAAAAAAACATTAACATTTTAACATTGCTTTGAGTGAATACAGAAAGGTCAAAGGTCGTAAAAGGAGGATCCTCCGACCAGGTTCCCAAAAGTTATACTTTAAGATTTTCAATTCACGTCGTGTTTATTCGCACGCAACTACACTTACGTAATGTAGGATTTGTAACGTCATATCCTATGTGCGTTACAATACCAGTATTTTCCCCAAAACGTTCTCAATTATGAATGCTATGCAAACTACAGCTACACTGAAAAGCGTGGGGCATAAGTATAACAGGGAATCTCCCACACTTTAGATTCGTGGTGATGTTGTGGCAGAAACACCAAAGGCCATTGTTCAGAAGAATGCCTACCAGGGACAGTCCCTTTTTTTGAATATTAGGGAATATCATCCAATGCCTTCTTCTGCCCTATGTGAAGCGAGAGGGAGTTTTTGACTCTTACTTACTAAAACCCCCTTATAACTAACACTAAAAACCGAAAAATTATTGAGAATATCGCCTTAATTAGCCTAATCTACCGCCGTATTCATTTTTGGATTCCGAAGCCGACATGGGTTCGATGCTTACCTAAGTACTGCACTGGGCCAGGTAAAAACCGCATGACAAACACAGTGCTATAATGTCTTGTATACATTACGCAAATTTTTAAATATATTTCAGAAAGGCCGGTGACCGGAGGCCCATTCCTTCCCCTCCCCCAATCCCTCCTCAATCCCTAAACCTCCAAATCCCTAATCCCTAAAAGGTCGGCAACGCACTCGTAACTCCTCCGTTGCGCGTGTCTATGGGCGGCGCTGATCGCTTACCATCAGGTAACCCGTCTGCTCGTTTGTCGACCTATTTCATAAAAAAAAGAAAGCGTGCATTTAACCTATTTGTACTCCTCCTTTACAACATACGGGAGCGGGTACCTCCAAGTGTGGGAGAGTTAACCTTCGGCACGAATGGGTCGGCTCTATCGGAGTGATACTACGAAAACCGGCGGGAAACAATTACAGCGTTGTATTTCCCCGTATCAGTGAGGTCACCAAAGGCCCATGAGAAGGTTAGGAAGACAGAGCAAATACGAACAATAACTAAGGTAATTAATAAGACTTTTAATAAAGTTTATCTTGTACTTTTACATATTTGGTTAAGGTGCAGGTCGCCTTAGGGCGCCCGCCTGAACCTCCTTAAAGGAATCCTGGAAAGGAATCCTAAAATTTTAAAATCGCCAATCCGCCTTGAACAAGCATTATGATTAATGCTCGAACATTGCGTGTGAGACATAGAGGAATAATCCAGTGGTTATATCCTCTTTGATGTGAGAAGAGGCATTTTCTGAGCAGTGCACTTATAGGCTGACGATATGACTTATGAGTTCGTTTTTCCAGCTCCTCTTTTCATAATCATAATTAAACTAGCTACTCACCCAGATCGGCTCCTTCTGATCGTAGCGTGATGTTTTACAGCCTAAAGCCTTCCTCAATAAATAATCTATTAAACACAAAAATATTTTTTCGAACCAGTAGTTCCTGAGATTAGCGCGTTCAAAAAAGAAACAAGCTCTTCAGGTTTGAATATTAGTAGGTATAGATAGTATGATCTACAAACCAGCTTTGAGTTGCGCTGCAATTCTTCCAGCGTCCTGCATCTGTATTTTGAGGAGCTCCATAGGTGTTGTAATTAACGCCTGGTACGCCCCCGCCAAGCCACCAGCAAACGTCTGATTTAGGATCGTTACGGTCCTAAATACATGACAAAATAAATATTAGGTGATATATCATGATATATCATTTTAGGTAATTATCTAACTAAGTAAATAAGTGTCGGAGAACTAAGCTTCTCTCTTCTAAGCACGGCCTCACAGAAAAACGGCGTGAAACAACCACAGCGTTGTTTTTCGCCGTGTGAGTGAGGTTACCGGAGGCCCAATCCCACCCCCTCCCCCATCCCTTCACAATCCATAAATATCTGAAACCCTTATCAAATGTGTAGCACCAAACAAATCCTGAGAATGATTGTAGGTCTCTACAATAAATCTACAGTATTATGGCGCTATTTCCTGCCTACATGACTAGATCAAGATATCCTAATTAATAAATTAAAACTCAAGGATTATTTTAGTAATATAAAATCCTGATGTATAAGTACATATAAAGATGTACAAGTTCATATTTGCGTTAGACAAAAAGGTTTAAGGAAAAGCCTCGAATTTGTCGTGAAAAAGTTGCACCTACCCGTCCGGATTGGCTAAGTAATATCGAAATACGTCATTTGCCGCTAACTTCACAGCTTTCTCTGGTGTGACCAGTAAGATATTGACAGCAGACCCTCGGTACATGCCGAAGTAACCTTCTGCTCGATATGTCTGCTTGAAGCAATCAAACCTGAAAAATAAACCAAGTTTTCGCCATGACGTTCTCTAATCCACAAAAGGCCTGCAAGGCACTCGCAACTCCCTTAGTGTTGTGGGTGTCTGAGACTGATTACCATGAAGTAATTCATCTGCTCGTTTACCGACCAACCACATTTATACTAATATTATAAATGCGAAATTAACTCTGTCTGTCTGTCTGTACTTTCTTCACTCCTAAACAACTGAACCGATTTCTGTGTTTGGTACAGACATAGTTTGGAACTCGAGAAAGAACATTGGATAGTTTTTATAACAAAAATGCAGGATGTCACTATTCCACGCGAACGGATATGCGATACAAGTCAGTTAAAAATACAATACTTACATGTTTTTATATTGCCTTTCGCCACGTGGGCCGATTGTTTGATTTTGAAGTCTTGTCTTTACTAAATCCAATGGAAACACCACGGATATACCCACAATGCCCGCGACACCACCATTTATAATTTTCGGCAATGTACTGAAAAAAGATGAAATTACAATATTATAAAAAATGTTTCTTGGCGTGCTGGACAATGTCTGTAGTGTTGTATGTCTGTGGGCATTATACTCAAAGACCTTTCATCCACTATATTTCAGCTACGTTACAAGTTAAACAGACTAACTGACTTTCTATAGAGTTATGGAGGTCGCAGATCGACTGCCTACAAGGATATAGGGACACAGAAAGACAGAATTTGTTTCATACTATATGACTTAGCAGTAAAAAACCACTTACTTTAGTTCCGGTAACTTATAGTCTGAAGATTTCGACATTTTTATAGTTTAAAACTGTGAAAAGAAGCAATTTAGTCAGATTATTCAATTAATAGAAAATGACATCATCGATGTGATGAGTGTGGAAAGATAATCATATTATTTAAGTGTGGGAGAGCCATGCTTCGGCACGAATGGGTCGGCTCGACCGGAGTGGTACTACGGCGTCATAGAAAACCGGTGTGAATGAGGTTAACGGATGCCCAATCCTTCGCCTGCCCCAATTGATTAAATTTCTAAAATCCTGATCCCCGAAAGGTCGACAACGCACTCACACCTGTTCCGTTGTTGCGGGTGTCCATAGGCGGCGCTGATTGCTTACCATCAGGTAATCCATATGCACGTTTGCTGTCCTATAATAAAAAGAAACATGTTATATTATCGTATAAAGCAAATTTACTTTTTACTTTAACTTGATGTTCCCAGCGTGGCCGCCGAATAACGGGTCTCCGGAACGATTCCGGTTCGAGTTTCCTCGTTTCTGAGGATAATGTCTTCTCAAAGGAATATCTTCAGATACGTATATAAATACACGTTATAATCCCGGGGGTATAAGTAGGAACAACAAAGCGTCTACTAATATACTACTTCGTATATTTCTTCAACCTCCAACATACGCGTACTCTGTAATGAAAAAAGCGTAGCTTATTCTACTTATACTATAAACACGAAAGTTAGGATAGATGAATGTTTTTTCACATTTTCATATAAAAGCTACTGAATGGATGTTGATAAAAATTGGCAAAGAGTTAACGTAACGCTAACGCGGTGGCTGGGCAACACTTTGGTATGAGTGTTGTGTTGTTTGTATGTTTATATAAATGTACCTACCAATGACCCATAAGAAAATCATAGTATTTAAAATAAAGTAATATGGTTTAGGTAGAGTCTGGAATAACACAGACTACGTTCCTATTGATTTATATTATTAATATGTATTGATGTAGAAGAGCGGAGTGACCCATCACCAAGTTATGTTTAACTTTTTTGGATACAAAAATAAAGATTTTGTATTTGTATTTTTTGGATTCGAGTAACAGATGAAGCCGCTAGCAGTTGCATTTCTGCTAGCTTTAATATAGGTACATACGCTCGCGTGTTTAGTCTGTACGCTGGGCATTGTCAAGGGCCAATACCCCTCTGCCGCGCCAGATTAGTGTGTCGTAGAATGAACCAGCTCGTTTAAGTGTGGGAGAGCTAAGCTTCGGCACTAATGGGTTGGTTTGGACGAAGTTATACCACGGCCTCACAGAAAACCACCTTGAACCGACTACAGCATTGTGTTTCGACGTGTTTATGAAGTTACCGGACGTGTGTGAAAGCCCAATCCTTTCCCCCCAAAGGTTGAGGGGTGGGATGGGGCCTTTGGTGTCACGTATAAGGACACGCCGGCGCCTAATCGACGGATAATCGGCACCACCTTATCTGATAAAAGAAGCGCGATCTCAAGGCGGATTGGAAGCAGCTAACTGTCTTAACTGAAAGCCGGATAAAATACGTAAAACCCCTTTTCTAGGAGTGGCTAGAGAGACGCCATGGCGTCCTCACCTTCCGCGTCATGCTTGTTCTTAGCGGAATCTGAGCTTTTTTCCAGGAGGTAACCATCCCGGATCCAGCTGAAGGACACGCCCTGGTTTCAATATATGTGAACACCACCTTAAGAACATAAGCATACGGCGGCGGTATGCTAAGAAAGTAATCGACAGCGGTGACCTATCACGTCCGGCCTTAGTCGAGGCTATGGTGTGAACCAGAGGACCTGAGAAGTATCCTTTCTTTGCGAAGCAGTAAGGGAGCTATCCTCCTTAGCCCGCAGCCGCCACAGTAAGAGACACTCCGGGCGTCGGGGATCGTGTAACGATCTCCGGTCACTATAAGCATGGGTCTGTAAGCGGTGAGCAAGGGTAGCTCGCGCAAACCCAACAGGGCTGATGTTCAGCCGGGTTTTAGGAATCAAGCGCTGTAATGTGCCGCGGCCGCAGGCTAGCCTGGAGCCAAAGAACGCCGTGGTTTACAGTCAGTAAGTGTCTGACACTCGTGACTTTTTAAAATTGATGATTTTAATCCCCTACGTGTGTGTAAAAAAATTACACATACCTAACAAATATCATTTTAATAAAATCATAATAAGAACTCTGAAACTTTAATGTACACTTTATTCCAGTTGTGGTACCTATATTACAAAATGTAAATAGGTATAAGAAAATATACCTACATATAAATTTGCAGGACGTAGATAATCAAACGATAGGGTTAGGCCATCCGAAACTCTTTATCTACTTAGCAGCTGCAGCAAAGTAATAGGTAGCTATTGATATTTTTGAAAAAGTGGTACTTCGAACCGGCCTATTCGACTTGCACAACACCACACACAAGCCCTACCACGTATAAAATAAGTCAAACTAGGTACTATTGCAGATGGTACCAAAATTGGCAATACATTGACTTATATATCTATTTACCTGTACCACAAATAAAATACTTACCCACATAAGTAGCATATAAAATATAACGATTAAAATAAAACAAATTCCAAAATTTGCTACAGGTGACAGGCTACGAATGCTTTGTCATTTGTGACATCTGGCATCTGGCCATGAGGCTAGATAAATGGGAAGAAGATATTTCAGAGATTGGGACTTTTTTCGGTATTCTTTTTATTTTACCAATATTTTATTCTTAAGTGTTCTTTATATTAACTATTTTCCTGAATATATGATAACGGATCACTTACCTACCTATAATTATTATCATCCACTTCTCTTCTTTAATACTTACACCTTGTAAACTAACTCGAAGCAGAAGTGTGGGAATATTGGAAAAATTGCTATCTATCCATTAAAAATTAAAGATTTTTTACTAACGATAATTTATAAGAGCTTTTATTGTTATTCCTTATTACATCAGCTACCATAAGATAAGTCAAAATCGGTCCGCTCGTTCTAAAGATTAGCCGGAACAGAGAGGCAGACAAAAAATTTAAAAGTATTTCTTGTGTTTATGTCCCATAAATACAATCATGTTGTTCTTTATTTAAAATTTAACAAACAGATACTTCGGTTTTGTTTGTATGTATGTATACCTAAAGATGAGTACGTGACACTATCTGTCGGTCACCTCTTCACGCCTAAACACGATTGACTGAATGCTTTAACACTGAACTGATGTTGGAAGTAAAGAAAATGCAACAAAACGGTTCAACCTACCTCTGTAGCACTTATTTTCTCATGATAGATTGATAGCCTTGTGTTTTGGAGAAAAGCTACGAAAAATTTTGGTGAAAACGGGACACCCTGTGCAACTCCCTATATTTATATATTTGCTTTTTTGTCCGTAACCGTCTAATTTAATTTTGCTACTGATTTTATAACGATTATTCTTAGTTAGATGTATTTTATTATTATCACTACATATCATAAAACAAAGTCACTTCCTGTTGTCTGTCCCTATATTGGTTTTTGCTTTGGATCTTTAAAACTACGTGACATATTATATGGATGTTTTTAATAGAAAAAATATTCAAGAGGATTGGCGAACGAATGTGTGTGGTTTGTCATTCTAATCTTTTTTCAAAGACTATTTTCCTGACGGCTTTATATCGAGTCAAATGCTTTTTAAAAATCTACGGAAGCAATATACCTATATAATCACTTGCGAGATTATAAAAGTGTATGTGTGTATTTGTCTGGTTATTAATTTATTCTAGTAGAGATATTTCCCCATTCTCCCTAAAAAGATAGTCGACTTTTAAAGGTTTACCTTGTACTATGCTTCCACACGAATGAGTCCGTGGTCGGCTCGACCGGAGTGATACCACGGCCTCACAAAAAACCGGCGTGAAACAACCAGAGCGTTGTGTTTCGCCGTGTAAGTTCGGTTACCGAAGGCCAAATTCCTTCCAATCCCATCCCTAAATCTCCAAAATCCTTAATCGCCACAAGGTCGGCAACGCACTCGTAACTCCTTTGTTGTTGCGGTTGTAAAATGGGCGGCGCTGATTGCTTACTACATAGCGTGATAATTGTAGGATACCTTATGTAATCATTTCCTGGTTATTAGTTGAAATGTACCAATTTGTTCTCCATAAGTATCCGTTGGATCAAAATCCAGAGGAAAGTGAAAGAATATCGATTAAAAGTGATAGGTATTGCTCCCATTACACAGAGTACCTATCGTTCATTATCCCTTTCTAAACAGTATTTTCCGGATTCAACAATATAAAATGATCAATGCCCATCTATTGTGTATCACAGTACGTTGTGTACACAAAGAGTAAACATCAACTAACATGAGTTTCAACATCTTGGTAAGAAACTTTTTTGTTGTTAGGGTTATTGGACTTAGTTTTGGTTATTTAGCAGAGTTCAAACCAGTGCAATGAAGAATTACATCAATTATTACAGTGTAATATCTAGTGACAATTCAATGCCGCGTGACCTGACCAAATCAAACTTTCCTGGGGATGCCATTGTAGATAACTAGACTCAAGCATCTCACTCTGATAAGAATTTCGTGCCCTAAAAACTCACTAGCGCCCTCTGGTTGATTCTTGAATAATAAATGTCACCTTTGATACAAATAAAAATAAGGTTGTTTCTAAATATTGATATTCAATACTTTCATCGAAGTATTACAATTTTCTATGAATTTTGTGATCGTTGTGACGTAATAACTTTTCATGTCAAATGGCATAGATCATAGATACCTCTGTTTCTCTTGAATTATCAAATAAAAAGAACATATAAAAAAGTATGTGTTGGCGAATTTTCCTAGTATCTATTCATCCCTCTTCTGTGTCTATTCACCCCTCGAACTCTATTAATTTTTCACCGTTAATTTTTTTGGGTATAAAAGTTCAATTACCTAATTTTTTGTTGACTGAGAGAGCAACCCAATTTAAACTGGAAACTAATTTTAAATAATCTTTCTCTATGGCTGCCACCAGGTTGTGTCCGTTGGCCTGATCGTAGCTGCCTCAGCCAGCAGCCAGCAAGAAAAGAGAAGTGTCATCAGCATAGAGCCAGCTGCTTGGCCCGGAGTCGCGACTTGGGTGCAAGGAGGACATGGTAAGATCGTGAAACCAGGACTAAGCAGCCCCACAAACCACGACTTATAAACTTTGGGGGGTGAATGAATTAGTATAAAAATCAATAAACTGAATACAATATAAGAAAACGACAGCTTTTGGCGGGAAAGTGCTAGTATAATGTTAAAGACCTCCTCGATGACAATTTTCGGTGATATTACCAAATGTATTTTATTGTACGAATGGTTCTAATATGATATTTATTTGCCTTTAAATGTTTGTAGTTTTTAACTATACACAAGAAGAATTGATTCTTTTAGTCAGCGACTTGACATGTTCAATGATAGTTGATAGATGTTAGGAAGAATTGCGAACTAAGTTAATTGTTTATGTAGTACTAGCTACTCTCACGCGGATTCACCCGCTGCTCGGCTTCATAGCTTGTAGCGTGATATTTTAAGCCTATAGCACTCAGGAACATTGTAGCTATCTATCAGTGAAAGAATTTTGGCAATCCGACCAGCGGTTCCAAACATTACCACCAACATACAAACTTAAAAATTTTACGTCTTTATAATATTAGTATAGATAACTATTTGCACACCGGTAACGGTAAACAAAACAAAAATGCTATTTTGTTTAGGTGGTTGGTCATCAGACACCAGTTCAGATGTGGCTGGTGCAGTCGCTGCCGCTAAAGCAGCTGCGACCGCGGTGATGGCCGCTCAGCACGAGGTCGCCGCGGCTAAACATGCTGCACTGGAACAGCAGAGTGTAGCCAGTGCTAAGGAAGCGGCTGCCGCTCGTGCTGCTCATAAAAGGTTCGTAGAATGTGTTTTTTGCAGACGGATTACCTGATGGTAAGCAGTCGCCGCAACAACAGAGGAATTACGAGTGCATTGCCGACCTTTAGCGGAATAGAGATTTGGAGAGGGGAAATATTGGGCCTCCGGTAACCTCACTCACACGGCCAAACACAACGCTGTGGTTATTTCACGCCAGTTTTCTGTGAGACATGTTGATGTGTGGGAGTGGCTAGATCGAATGACTAACGCGCCTTACCATCAAAGATTGCATCACTGCTTACCTGGTGGGAGGTGGGATTGAAGTCAAGAACTAGTACATATGATTTAAAAAAGGGGATCCATGCATGGGCACGAATGGGTGATATTACGGCCCTAGAGAATACCTGCGTGAAACAAAACAAACGTTGTTTTCGCCGTGTTAGTATCCATCCCGTCCTCAATCCCCAAATCCTTAAATCCCTTACAACACATAAAAGGTCTATGGGCGGTGCCAATTGCTCGCGATCTGGTGACCCAACTGCTCATTTGATGACAATCCCATAAAAACTGATAAATCTCTAGATTTTAGCTAACTTTACTATGAGATGTTCTATTACAGTGAAGAAGCAGCAAGAATCGCTCGTGCACATGCACTAGAGGCTGCACAGGCAGCAGTGCAGGCACAAGCCCAGCTGGCAGGAGCCAAGGCACGCGCTGCTGCTGCTCAGAAGATCGCTGCCGCCCGCGAAGCTGCAGCTGCTAAGGCCATACAACGTGCTGCTCACAATCAGGCTGCCAGACTGCAGAATGCTGGTATAATACCCACTTCGATTTTTTTACATTCCTTGCTAGATTAGATTACCTTTCAATCGTGGTAATGCGAGACACTTTTATTGTGAGGACAAAATCATTAAATTACTTGTCCCGCCCAGGGTCGGGGAGGGACTGTCAGACTCTTACTGACTAAACCCCCCCCCCCCTGAGGCGTTCGCTTGGGCTTTACTGAATTAATCCAAATACTGTTATAACATGTTTCTTTTGCAGACTTAGAGGCGCTGAAGTTATCCGTAATCCAAAGTTCGGGCGCGGCTGGAGCTGCAGGGGCTGCCCAGCACGCTGCTACAGCTGCAGCGGCTGCTCTCCGCCCACAGACGCCAGAGTGGCCAGCAAAACCTTGGACTGCCGCTGCATGGGTACCTGCCGCTTGGGGCTGGGCTTAAGGTCACCACCATTATAACGGAAATTGCAGAAACAGCTGACCAACGAAAAATACTACTTTGTTCCATTTTTATATGATGAAAAAAATATTTTAGTCTTAAGATTTCACCACAATGTCTAGATTTAATTTAGAATTAAAATAAACATTTTTTAAATTTGATATTTCAAGTTTTATTATTTGTTACTGACTCTCTGTTTTACGACTTTGATTAATTTTATCTTTTTTCGCTTCGTTTTTTAAGTCTCTAGCGACTCATACAGACAAGTCTCATACAAAATTTCCCACCGATTTAATGGATGTTACTAATTATTTGCACATATCTAAGGTAAATGAGGGTATTAAGGCCTAGCTAAGGGAAATTTGTTGTAAAATCAAAACTGATTATAGAATCAACATGTTTTATTCGGTAATCAGTCGTTTATTTAGGCACCTACAAAAATAAACCAAAAAATAGCAGCTTCTGCATGAAACTTAAACAATATTTAACATTTTTTTAAACGCTCTTAATAGGCCTTATTATAATTCGGTAGGGTAACAAGGCCTGCTTCTTTAACTATGCAATTAATCAACTAAAACACCATAATTTGGCATTTGATATCAATCATCATCCAGTCAATGGCAGAATAATACTTTAGAATTAAATGAGTAGCCTCATCTAACATCCACCACGGCATACGAAGTCATCATAATCATCCACTGATAAACTAACACACACCTCATGATACCACTTGGGGCATTGAGAGCACTGCCTCATGTCATCCATACTGTGTACTGTGTATGTGAAGAAAACATACGGTGTCATGAAGAAAAACGTATGTTTTCTTTTCAGGCATGTGATGTCCTTGGTTCGATCAGATCCGCGAGAAGACTTTGTTTTAATTGGTCTTAAAGGTGTTTGAAGGTTAGAGTTTCCTAGATCGATTATAGATTGGTTTTCTTCTTCTTCTGAATGGTATTTTTATTCTCGGCATTGCTTTTCTTACCTTCATTAAATTTATCAAAACGATCTTTGGAGTACCCCGAAAATTAATAGCCTTATGAGATCATGAAACCCAGATATTATTGTTCTTTTTCTTTCTCTAGTCGTGCAAGTGGAAGACGATGTCTTCGGAGGAAATGCCATAGATTAGTCATCTTCTGACCACAATGCTCGCTTAGGAAGCATCGTGAACGTAGGAACTGTGAATAATGTATGATATACCTATTGAAATAATTTGAAAATAATGCAAACATTAAAGAATATATAAGTATAATAAGGCCTACTTTAAAATTTTATAGGCCTTATTGCCCATAGGTTAGGTATTTATGGAAAACGATATAAATACAATTTGGACTGTAGAACGTTAATGAATAAGGCAATCTGGGACGAGCATAAGTTAACGATAATACAGACAGTAAGTGCAAGGAGATAAGTATAAAATTTTAAGAAATATTTATGTTTTACCGGAGCCAATATTTGTAAAAACGTGACGTGCGGCTACTTTTGACAACGTTTAAAACGCCATTAGCGAGAGCGAGTGAGATAGCCAACACTTGCCGCATGGTGGCGCCTTGTACGTGTAACATACATGTATGTGCATGAGATTGAGCGTAAAATCGTATTCTAAGCAAGATTTGTAATGTTTAGGCCTCTTCAATCACTCTATCTATTAAAACCGCATCAAAATCCATTGCGTTTGAAAGATTTAAGCACACATAGATAGAAAGATATACCAACTTAGTCTTGGTGGCTCCGAGGTTAAGGCGCTCGCTTCTCATGCATGAGGGTGCAGGTTCGAAACCTAGCAAGTACCAATGTGACTTTTTACGAGTTATACGTACTTTCTATGATTATTTAGACGCCACTGACATACGGTGAAGGATCGTGAGGAAACCTGGACTTATAATTTTTTTTTATAAGTTTGAAATCGCCAATCCGCCTTAAGCAAGCGTGGTGATTAATTAAATGCTCCAACCTTATCCGTGTGCGAAGAGGCCTTTGCTCAGCAGTGGGCACTTATAGGCTGATGATGATCATGATGAGGGATATAGGGACATAAAAATCGACTTTTTTCTATACTATACATATAACGAAGCGAGACAATAATAGCTGTGCACCTATGACATAACTCTCAGACGACTGATAAACCTTAGAAAAGTACCTACTTGGATACAGCTACCTAAGAGCAAATCTTTTAATCTCAATGTTGTCTTATCTCTTTAGATCGATATGTAGATAGTAATGTTTGCTGTGACTTCTCCTTATCTATGGGTAGAGTGTTCGTGCATTATAATATGAATTCGTTAAATCCATTCACTGAAAGGAAAATGAAGAAGTACTTACATCTGAAGTAACCCTGATGCAATAAAATATCGATATCTTAAAAATTTAGCAATTTATTTTAAGATATCGCTCGACCGGAATGATACCACGGCCTCACAGAAAACTGGCGTGAAACAACTACAGTGTTGTGTTTCGCGGTGTGAATGAGTTTACTAGATGCCCAATTATTCCCCTTCCCCAATCCCTAATTCCCCAAACCCTAATCCCCAAAAGGTCGGCAATGCACTCGTACCTCTTTAACGCACGCGTTCCGCGCTCGCCTCAAAGAGATAATAGACTACCATAGATGGGGCCCTATACTGCTGATGTTCAGCCGAGGTTGCTGGGTTTAAGCGCAATAAGGTACCGCGGCCTCGGACTAGAGCACGAGATGGAAGAGGTCGTTTTTAGTCAGTAAGAGTCTGACACTGACTGTCACCACATGAGCGCGAGAAGTCATTTAATTAATCAATTTCCCCTCACAAAAGTAAGTTAGGTACAAGTATTAGATATTGCTTAGACACAGGTAAACAATGAACAAACTTCAGCTTATTAAAAAAAAGAGAATTAAAACTAATATTTAAAAAAAAAACAAAAAGAAATTACTTAGTTCAAGGAATACCTATAAACAATTTTCCCTTTACATTTGCTCCATATCGATTTAAAACCACGCCTGCGCAGTGCGAACGACATCTCCCACTTGAGATGAAGTTCCAAGGGACGTGTTTTTCCAGCATCCTCCTTCCGCGTTTATAAATAATACGTTTTGTTTTTTACCTTTTTAAATTAAACACTAAATATGAGTCGACTAAAAGCCTAACTTCCAGGACATTAAGGTAAGATTACTTATTCTATCCGACCCGTGTTTATGACCTTAGGGTCACCTGTTTAGGCAAAATGGATAACTTTAAAATATTCATATGCAATCTAAAGTTGAAACCCTGCTTACGTAAGTAATTAGTTCAGTTAGATTATTAATAGAAGCGTGAATTTAGTTTGTGACACGATTAAGTAGGTAATTGTTTTATATGTGTCGTTTAAAAGGAGCAATTACATTTTTGTGATATTTTATCAGTTTGTGTGTTGTTAAGAGAGAATTTGTTTTTTAAGTACCTATAGTAATTTCTTTTTCTTCATACGTTATTGTAGATTGAAAAAACAAAAGACTTTTACATATGAAATACTCAGGTAGTTTGAAACGTATAAGTACTATTTTTGACGTAAATAGGTGCTTATAGGTGACCTAAGTATATTAATACGTATCGGACTACCTAATCTGTAAATAAAAACTAACTGGAAGATGTCAACTGTTATTACCTACTACAATTGGAAACTATTTATACCTAGGTACTATATTTTTCTATAGATACTTGCTAAACCATTACATCTGAAACTTTATATAAAAATTGAAATGACATCTTAGTATGTTCTTAGGTTTCATCAATCTAGTTAGATATCAACTACCTACAGCGCAGGCGTGAAGCTATTTATTTATTGTCTAAACAATAAAAACAATCTGGTAAACTGCCAAATATATAAATACCTACATGCATGTAATACTTATGTATATGTAAAATGATTAGCTACCTATATATCATTTTATCATACTACCTTGGTATGCTTACGTAAAAGTACCTTCTTTGGTCTCTATCATATTTGTAAGTTTAGTAAAATTGTTAGATGAATCGGAAAGATGCAACAAACAAAACTACTTTCTCATTTCTACTATTAGTGATAACTATTGAATTAATGAATGCATATTTTTTATTACACCGTTATAATAAAAAACTCATCTATTACCTATTATGCTCAAAAGAAGCAGGATGGGATGTATCTACAAAGTCAGTTCCCGGTTAAGAAACTTTAATAACTTGCAATGTTTCATACTATATAGGTGCTTATGAGATTCTATCTTCTTAAAGAGGGAAGATTGATTGTTTGTTTGTACGGGTCCCGAAACAAGTTGACCGATTTGAAAAATTCTTTCACTTTTGGGAATTGTACTATTCCCACTGAACATAGACTATAAATAAACTACTGGAGTGATACCACGGGGCACAGCAATATTATAAAGCTGAAGAGTTTGTTTGTTTGTTTGAACGCACTAATCTCTGGAACTACTGAACCGATAGTCCATTTATATTCAGGCAACGGGTGAAACAGCGTGGAAGTAGCTAGTATACATACAATAACTATAATATTTCTAATATTCTAATAGGGTCCAAGATGTGGGCGTACCACATCCTGCTGGCGGTGGTGTGGTGCGGGGGCACACTGGTCGCAGCGGACATAGACCGGCGCCGTTTCTCCAACCCCACCTACTACAATGTTGGAGGAGTTCTATCCAGTAACGAGTCCATCGCATTCTATAAGGACACTATATCGGTGAGAACATACACCATGCGGTGTAAAGTTTTAAAAGGATCGCGATTTTGGTAGTAACTTAAGTAGGGTTAAGTTTGGGAGAGGCATGCTTCGGCACGAATGGGTCTTCTCGGCCGGAGTAATACCACGGCCTCAAAGAAAACCATCGTGAAACAACCATAGCGTTGTATTTCGCCGTGTGAATAAGTTACCGGAGGCCCAATCCTTCCACCAAATCTAAACCCAAAAATATCCTAATTCGTAATCCCCAAAAGATCGACAGCGCACTCGTAACTCCTGTTGTTGATTGCTTACCATCAGGTATTCCGAGGGGTTGTCTTAACTCATAAAAAAATAAAAACTGGCAGCCAACCAAAACCAGATCCGAATGCAAGGCACGTCGCGTAATCACGCGCATCAATGAGCTATCAGACCGCCATATTATGGGGTTAAGTTGGGCCGACACTTAGCCAGGGCTGTAGATGCAACCGCAATGATGTACCACGCAGCCCTAAAGAAGGAACAATATGGTGTTTTGTCAGTAAGAGTCTGGCTTCCTTCCCTTTGCCGTCACCTTGTGTATGTATACGCGTTAAAATGTTTATTTTTAACGTTGCCCTACAGTAGGATTTTCTTCTGTGTCGTGGGTGCGTTTATAAACACCTACAAATTCTCATACACATCTCCCCCAGACCCGCAACAACAGTTTGTGGATCACAGAAAATTTAAAACCGCGACAAGTTGCAAAGCCACCACGCTAAACGTGCAATAAAAAAATTTTACACACTTAATGACGATTCTCTTTCCTTTGATTTGCTTAACGGATATGAAGTAAAGTTACTCAAGAATGACAGTATTTTTTATATTGTTTACAGAATCTGAACTTCAAAGACCAATATGTGCCTCGAGGAGTGACGTACCATGATTATTCCATGCTTATGGACCCGAATCCTATTAAAACGGCGCTGAACGTCTGCAAGGATCTCATTGCCCATCGAGTAAGTTCATATTTATAGTCCTTAAACAGGTCCTTTCCCTTTAAGTAAGTAATAATTAACTTTTTCAAAACTATATTAAGCTACTAAGTAGTTCACGGGTCTGCCATTAGACCACCACGGATGGGGCCAAATAGAGTTTGATGAAAGTAAGCGAGCACGCAAACGCAATAATGTCCCGCGGCCCTGGCCCGGAGCAGGAGCATGAACAGGGTGGATTTTAGTCTATAAGAGTCTGACTCTCCATCTCGCCCTAGGGCGGGAGAAGTCAATCGACAATTTTCCCCCTCAAAAACAAGCTTTAGATACTTTGTGAAACTTGCAAAGACTTCGGCCTCGTTTATACACACAGGTGAAGTCGCGCGATAGATCGTGCGTTTGTCGTACATTGCAGCAGCAGACTGCGCCATCACCCGCTCAAACACAAACATTAAAACATTATGAGCAATTTATACCGGACCGCAATACGCGCTGCGTTTACATAAACGAGGCCCTAGCTACTACATTGCTTTTGGATTTTAATGGAAATCTGATCAATATATATTACCTACGTACAGATTACTTGACTTTTCGATGTTATTTTCTAGGTATACGCAGTCGTGGTCTCCCATCCACTGACAGGAGACCTCTCCCCAGCAGCAGTCTCCTACACCAGCGGGTTCTACCATATACCAGTCATTGGTATTTCATCAAGAGATTCTGCGTTCTCGGATAAGAACATTCATGTATCATTTCTTCGGACAGTGCCACCGTATTCACATCAGGCTGATGTATGGGTTGATGTGTTGAAGCACTTCAACTACATGAAGGTCATATTCATTCATAGTTCTGATACCGATGGCAGGGCTATTCTAGGACGGTGAGTACATTAACAAGTGTTGTAGCTATTACTATCGATACACAAATTTCTATCCCCATCATATAAATGTTGGCAGTCAACTGTGCGATTTTCACCGAACTCTCTGCCTCGCGCAGCCAAACTTTATTCTAATCTTTCTGCTGCGATATTTAAGAATCGATACGACCTTCAAACCAACAAAAACAAGCGTACCTATTCCTTGTTAAAAGGTCACACGCCTGTGACTTCTATGATGTTGTAGGTGTCTATGGACAGCGCTGATCACTTACCAGGTGATCCGTCACCTTGTTTGCCTAGTATTCCAAAAATAATTATTGGCAGACTGCTAGTTAACGGCTGCAAGAGGTCTTCCAAGTCATGCAGATCAATGTGTTTTAAAAATTCTTATTAATCCCAGAGTTTGAATGACGACTCGTGTCCGATACTAAGTGTTAGTTTAAAATGTAGGCATCTACTCATCTGCCACGCAACTAGATGAAAATGTTAGTTACAATTACATTTTACCTTTCCCTTTTCGGAACATCAGCATTGCAGTCTTAGGAAATACAATAATTAATTCAAAGTACGCTCTTCTCGTAGGTTCCAAACGACTTCTCAGAGCGTGGATGAAGATGTGGACCGTAAGGTAGTAGTGGAGCAAGTCATAGAGTTCGAACCAGGACTCGACTCCTTCAGTGATCGGCTCATGGATGTGAAAGGTGCCCAAGCAAGAGTGTTCCTTATGTATGCCAGGTATGCTATTACATTATATCTTTTAATAGTTACCTAATTCAGACACAGAACAACAACTTGTAGATCCCTCAAAGTCTTGTTAATTAGGCATCCAACCTACGACACCAGCATGTTTCGGGGAAGTTAGTTCCCCATTATGCCAACATTCAGTTATTTTTTATTGAATATGTCCTGCCTTCATACCCTACTAAACTGCGATTTACTAGCTCGCGTGACACAGTTCTATTATGGTAGTTGAATTAGCTTTCTCTATGAATCGACGTCATAATATGAATGGCATTGTGTTTACTACGTGTACTTGAACCTTTGAATGCATAGGTACCTACCGCCATCTGTTGGCACTATCAATAAACGTTCCTGTTTCATGAATTACGCTTATAAAGTGTTTACCTATTTATTGCATGAAATATCAATAAATTTGTTTTTCTTTGTATATACATTTACTCGCATACCTACCTACTTATGCCCACCCCATATTATATAGATAGGTAACTACTATACCAATATCTCTCTACCTACAGTTTTTTAAAGCCTCAAAATTGACTTACATCCATTATGATATTTTGCACAGTAAAACGGACGCAGAGATCATCTTCCGTGATGCTACGTTCCTCAATATGACGACAGTGGGATACGTATGGATGGTGACGGAACAGGCGCTGGATGCGGCCAATGCTCCTGAAGGCCTGCTGGGCCTAAGACTGGTCAATGCTACCAACGAGCATGCACATATTCAAGACTCTATGTAAGATCTGCAACTTCATTACCATAAAATAGTTTGTTTGTTTTTTTGCTATAACAGACTTTATGTATCTACTTAAATAATAAAACTTATTAACGTAAAACTTTCTTGAGTAATATTTGATTACAATGTAAAAAAAAAGATTGTCTTGTACGTCGTTATCATTATTTTCCACATAAAAAAAGAAACTAATGACATATTTTGCCACATATTTATTTCTTGTAAAGTGGCCTGATATGACCAAATAATATAACGCAAAGAGGTTATACTAAGAATTTTATAGCCTATTTAAAAAAATGATCTTCTGTATTAAAATCCTTAAACGTTTCAGATACGTGTTGGCATCGGCTATCCGTGACATGAATACGTCTGAAGAGATCCACGCCCCGCCATCTGATTGCGACAATTCAGGGTCCATTTGGACCACAGGCCGTTTGCTGTTCGATTATATTAGAAAACAACGTTTAGAAAATGGGGCCACTGGCCATGTGGCCTTCGATGACCATGGAGATCGCGTCCACGCAGAGTACGACATGGTCAATGTTAGAGCTCAGGGCGAACATGTTGCTGTCGGCAAATATTTTTATTTTAAAGTAAGTAACTAATAAGGTAGATAAGGACACCTATGTTTCTGAGTTTCACATAAAATGATAGGTACAATTATTTAAGTAATGCAGACAAGAAAAGAAATCTGTTTTAGATAAGTACTTACTTAAACGTTTACGAATTCAAACATTTCAAATTTGGAACATAGCCAAGCCTGGTTTTGTCCAAAAATAAAATTTTATTACTGTGTAGATAATTGACCAATCATCATCAATAACATCGATATCTTAGTATAAGCCAGATAAAACAAAATTAAAAATTCTATTAGAAATAAGGTAGGTACTTATCAATCTCTTTTTTCATCAAGGAAACTCAAAAGATGCGGCTTGAACTGAAGGAGCAGGAAATAATATGGATGGGACGCAGCACATCGAAACCGGAGGGATTTATGATACCCACACATCTCAAGGTGATATTGAAAATCCACTTCAAAAATGATAATAAAAAAATGCAAATTCCTATTATTGTAATAATGTTTGCGTTGTTGCTTTCATCAAGTACCTACCTAGTCAGTCACCGAGGTCTTTTGGGTCTTCAGGTCTTTTGGAACCGATGCTCGAGACTATAAAAATATCAATAACTTTTCATTCTAGTTACGAAATTGTGTATTGAGTATTTTTAAAGAAATTATAGGTCCTTTCTTAATACATGGAACTCATTTCACTTACCAACCTGTTAAAAACTTAACTAAAAAATTATGACTTTCCGACATGCGTTGGTGCATGAACCTACATACTTACTTATTCTAGCACATACTTATTCTAATTATATTGCCTACTGAAGAAAATGTTTCCAAAGCTTAGCAGTTTCCAAAAGTCCTTTAATTTAACAAAATCTTGTACGATCAGGTATTAACGATTGAGGAGAAGCCATTCGTGTATACTCGGCGAATAGACGATGGTAGTGAGTGCACGCCCGAGGAGATTCCCTGCCCCCACTACAATGCCAGTGAGGATACAGGTAATAACGAACCCTTTCATTTTCATATGAATCTTATTTATTTATATATACTTTATTGCACACATACACCAAGTAGCAATACATTGGATACTATGACCGAATGATGTGATTAAAATGGGCGGTCTTATCACACAAGGTGATTTCTCGATTTCTCTCTTCCAGACAACCGTTAGATGGAAATGTATAAAAGAAACTTGGCCATGAGTAGGTAGTGTAGTGTAGGCCAGTTAAAACAAGCACTAGGTACATAAAGAAGATAATCTTCTACTTTTTTATGAGTTAGAGAAACAAAGCGATCATGGACCCCCGTAAAATCAAAAATTGGACCCCCGTTACATCAGAACAACTACGAGAACAACAGCCGGCCATGTTTTGTAAAAGTCGACGTTCTTTTTTGATCAATTGAAGTTTATAGGTATCACTTTAGAAGTAGATAAGTACCTACATCAGGCGACAGTTCATTCCACAGTTATTTAATGCAAAGTAGCATGTTTTTAATTCATCTCTAGCGAACTCATTTGGACACCTAGGTATTGTTCTTGTATTGTGTCTCGAATCCGGTAGTTTCTAACGAGTCAAATTCAATACTTTTATACAAATGTCAAAAACAATACTTTTCTATGAAATATGAAACACTGAGTTGTGACGTCATATAATTTTTAGTCTAATAGCTTACCTACTTATTTCTTAAAAATTAGCGAAAAAATATCAAAAGTTTACTGTGCCATTCGATCGATGAATAAAAGTGTACCTAGTTATTTTTCAATATTTTATTGTATTGAAACGTCAAATTTATTTTTGACCTAGGAAACTACCCAATTATCACGATGGAAAGATTAAAATCACCGTCTTTTCAGTTTGTCCGTAGAAAACTCTTTTTTGGCCACTTACGTCTTATACCTAGTTTTAGGATTGATCACCGGCTCGGACACAGTATACTACCTACTATATTATGCAATATTAGGGTATTCAAAAATTCTCAGCACATACTGCACCTAGTCTGCACAAAGTGCAGCTAGAGTGAGACCGATATACACATATCATAATTATTGTTTAAAAAAAGTAGGTTATCTTCATTTGTTATGTCGACCTACTACTACTACTCTATTTTAGGGAACAAGGTATGATAATATGGTATATTTACATATTTTATCATACATTTATTAATAACAACTTACATGAATAAACTGAGAAAAGCTTTACCAGTTTCAAGTGTCGCCGGGACTCTTATTCATGAGCAGCTAACCGGAGAACCGACTGCGCGTAGCGACGACGACGCGCAGTCGATTCTGCGGTTGTGACTTATGAAACTGGTAAGTAAAGCTTTTCTCTGTTTATTCATGTGAGTAAGACGTTATTTTCAATAAATTTAGTATGCCTATGTTTTTTTTGTGAGGGGACTATATGTATATCGATGCTTCCGACAACAAAGGTCGTAAACACCAAAATAGCACTTTTGGTAATCAACGAAAAACAAAAAATAATTTCGTTTTTGGCTTATATCTTTTTAACTTTAAAAGTTGTAAAATTGTGTTCTATACAAGAAATACGTAAAATACGATGGTGTTTCATAATATATTATTGCTATTTATGTCAAAGCCTTATTTTAAAAGTTAGCTTGGACATACACCCCAGAAAATTCAAGAAGTTGGTATTTACGACCACTAACAAATCAATGGAGAACGATTTGTCTAACGGAAGTTAGAAGTATGCACCAGTTTTTAAATACAATAGTTCTGGGTCTGGTTTTAAAAACCATATACTGAAATAAAAATGAGTGTAAACACCACGATCTGATGCGATGGTATGTAACAAACATGGAAATATCTGAAGCGAAAGTCTATAGTCCTTTCGACTGGCAGGTCCTAAAGGTATAAAAATACACTTACGTAAGTATATTATAGGCATCTTCCCGTATATAATTTAATCAAGCGTTTGTTACAAGATGCCTAAAGTGTTCTACCTCCTACGACATAAACCAGCCAGACATAATTCAAAATGTTAAGTAATCATTATGTTTCATGGATTTCAAGAAGATTTTATAATCACGACATTTTTTTAAAACGTATTGATAATGAATTACAAAAAAATATAAGTAAATATTCTACCAAGCTATTAAAATTATTAGAGCAGTAATGCTCTAATAATTTTAATAAGCAATGTCCATTTTCACCAACGTCCTTAAAAATTTAGGTAGTTCATCTTTCTAGATCTTGTTTGTTCGGAAAGCTTCTGTACTATGGTCTAAACCTAACTTTTAGTGTCGTTGGTGAAAATGGAAAAGTGTTATCGACAAAATATTAAAAAAGTAGATGCAAAACATAATACGACGACGAGTTATAGAAAATCAGGTCTTCAAATTTCTGATTAATAATCTTCTGTCATTGGATAGAAGATTATTAACCAGAAATTTGAAGACCTGATTTTCTGATAGAAGATTATTAATCAGAAATTTCATCTTCCTCGTCAATCTCAGGAAGAGTATCAATAACAATATGAGACTGACCCTATTAAAGAAAATAGGAGACGCTGTACGTTTAAGTGTGGGAGAGCCATGCTTCGGCACGAATGGGTCGGCTCGACCGGAGTGATACCACGGCCTCACAGAAAACCGGCGTGAAATAACCACTGCGTTGTTTCGCCGTGTGAGTGAGGTTACCGGAGGCCCAATCCTTCCCCTTCCCCAATCCCTCCTCAATCCCTAAATCTCCAAATCCCTAATCCCTAAAAGGTCGGAACGGTCGGCAACGCACTCGTAACTCCTCCGTTGCGAGTGTCCATGGGCGGCGCTGATTGCTTACCATCAGGTAATGCGCCTGCTCGTTTGCCGATCTATTACATAAAAAAAACGACCTACATAATTCATTTTTCAAACAAATTCTCCAAGATCGAGTGACATTACGACAATTGTTTCTCAGCAGAGCTTACGTTTTAAAAATGATTGTGGGGTGTAATTACAATTAATTATGTATTCATGTTTGTACGACCGACAGCTTTTTGTACGTTGTATTATACGACCTGCACGATTATTCGGTTCTAAGCAATATCAGTTATACATACCCTCTTTTCAAAAAAATCTTGATTATACTAGTACAAATTTTGGGTGTAAAAGTATGTTTTTTTTGGCGAATATTTTTTTTACATTTTTAGATCGATGCAGCGCCAAAAATTAAGTAGGGCTGCATTCTTAACTCATTTTCGCCAAAATGGCGTTTACGACATTTGTTGCCGGAAGCATCGATATGATATCTATATCTATGACTTTCCCACCTAGGGTGAGGCGAGAAGGAGTGTCAGACTCTTACTGACTAAAAACCCCCCGTTCCTTCTTCTACTTTAGGTCTAGGCCACGGTGCCTCATTGCACTTACTGCGCAACCCCCGCTGAAAATTTAGTGTATATGCCTCACGATAGTTATAATTCTAAAATATTTTATCACGTTTCAGATCAGCTCTATTGCTGCAAAGGTTTCTGCATGGACCTTCTAAAGCATCTATCAAAGGCCATCAACTTTACCTACTCGCTGGCCCTGTCGCCGGACGGTCAATTCGGGAACTACATTATACGTAACCTCACACAACCCGGTGCTAAGAAGGAATGGACTGGACTCATAGGTATGTAGGTTAAGGCTAGTGGTAAATAAACTTGAGAACTCCAAAAAATATTAAAATCTTTCGGACAAGATCGGATATTAATAAAACGACGATTAATAAAACTGGTCTTAGTCTGTACATCACAGATCTGAAAAATATACCTAATTTTTTTAATCATTTAGGTGTACATACATTTTATTTATCTATCTAATATATCTACTTCTTATCTATAGGAGAACTGGTATACGAACGTGCGGATATGATTGTGGCTCCCTTGACAATAAACCCAGAACGGGCCGAGTTCATAGAATTCAGTAAGCCTTTCAAATACCAAGGTATAACCATTTTAGAGAAGAAGGTATGTAACGTAACTTATTGTTTTTTATGTATATTACTTATAAAACGTTGTCCTACACTAGGATTTTCTCCTGTGTCGTAGGTGCGTTTACAAACATACAATTTCACATCTTACACATCACACCTAGTCCTTTTTTTTGTCTAGGGAAAATCATCAAATGACTTCTCCCGCCCAGGGTTAGGCGAGAGAGAGTGTCAGACTCTTACTGACTAAAAACCCCCCGTTCCTTCTCCTGCTCTGGGCCGAGGCCGCGGTGACTCATTGCGCTTAACCCGCAACCCCGGCTGAACATTAGCCCTATAGGGGCCCGTCTGTGGTGATCCATTGGCTATCACACCTATTCCTGGAACGACAATTTGTGGATCAGACAGAGTTGTTCCGTGCGGGAATCTATAACTAACGGGCGCCAACCTTGTAATCAAATGTTTAGCATGCATGACTTACGTAGTATTAAGGATTTATTCTAAATCTAAACCAAAATCTTTAACCTACCTCTATTAGGTAAAGACCTATGTTTCTAAAGGCCACAAAAAAGGCCTGCCAAGTCCTTTTTTCTCGAAAGGCCTGCAAAGCACTTGGGACTCCTTAGTTGTTGCGATTGTCTATGGCGCTGATCGCTTAAATAAGTACCATGAGCGGATTCATCTACCCCCTTTACTCTCTTTTTCCATAAAAATATCCTATACATAGTCGATTATTAAAGGCTTGCATACTAAACTTTATGTTAAAATTAGGTACACTAACTATGCCTATTAGTTTTTTCCTACCTAATATTTGCTCTAAACAATGTGTTCTGCTTTCAGCCATCTCGATCATCGACGTTGGTATCGTTTTTGCAACCGTTTTCCAACACTCTATGGATTCTAGTGATGGTATCTGTCCACGTGGTGGCTCTAGTGCTGTACCTACTCGACAGATTCTCCCCCTTCGGAAGGTTCAAGCTGGCGAACATTGATGGAACGGAGGAAGACGCTTTGAACCTTTCCAGTGCTATATGGTTCGCTTGGGGAGTACTCTTGAATAGCGGTATTGGCGAAGGTGAGGAACTATAACTACACATATTTTAATGGGTGAAACGTGTCTTAGTAATATTTAATTACAAGTATTTAGTAAATCACCTGGCGTCAGGAGGCAAGCGCAATAAGGCATCAGGCCTCGGCCTACAGCAGCAATAGGAACGAGGGGATTTTTAGTCAGTAGATTTAAGAGTCTGACACTCTCTCTCGCCCATGTCGCCTCACCCTCGGCGAGAGAAACATTTGATGATTTCCACCTCACAAAAAAGCCATTAAACAAGTACGCCGTACCTAATAAGCAACTACCAACTCGATGCACGATCTACAAAATGAGTAATGCCCTCAAATTATTTATGAACTAACTGACGAAACATGACACATAAACAAATAAGTGAACAAAAACAAAAGCTCTTGACTAGATAGTAAAAATATACACATTTTCAAAGAAGTCGTTGATGAGTGTGACTGTTTGCGTTTCTGACCGTCAACTTGCTATTCCCTTGTTTCAGGCACTCCTCGTAGTTTCTCAGCGCGCGTGCTCGGCATGGTGTGGGCAGGTTTCGCAATGATCATCGTCGCCTCCTACACTGCCAACTTGGCTGCCTTCCTCGTGCTCGAACGGCCTAAGACGAAGCTTACAGGAATCAACGATGCCAGGGTAAGTGCCATAGCTTTCAAATTTACGAGATCACAGTCACGCGCGATCTATCAACACCAAACTGCAACCTAGTTAGATGCAGACAGAGGGTTATCCATGCTAATTGCCATCGCATCGGGATATAACAAGGGACTAATTATTGCTGACTTAAAATAATTTTCTCAACATCAAAAGTACCTATCCATCAATCAGAGCATACCAAGATTAATTGATCATAGCAATATTTCCCTAGGACTGTTCGATGGTGCAGTTTGACGGGGAGGTACAATTTCACAGATTAATATTTTCAGGCTACCGTAGTCGCATCTAGACTAGTTTAGAGAGTAGCTAATGCTTTATTTTTTATTATCTTTAGCTTCGCAATACCATGGAGAATCTGACCTGCGCCACGGTTAAGGGATCAGCTGTCGATATGTATTTTAGACGACAAGTTGAACTGTCGAATATGTATCGAACAATGGAAGCAAATAATTATGATAACGCTGAGCAAGCTATCGAGGACGTTAAGAACGGGTAGGTTCATCCTACATTTTGTTTTCGTAGATGCAGATTTATGTAGACTTAGAACTAGGATTTCCATGGTTTTTTTTATTATTATTATTTTTGTAGTTTTCATTTACACCATGGAGCAAAATATTTTTGAATTGAACACGTAGTTGTAGGTGTAGGTTTTTAACTATTTCCGTCATGCCCATTACTCATTCTGGTCCGTGGTTGCAGTAAACTAATGGCATTCATTTGGGATTCATCTCGCTTGGAATTCGAAGCAGCCCAGGACTGTGAGCTAGTGACGGCAGGGGAACTGTTTGGTCGCTCAGGCTATGGCGTGGGATTGCAAAAGGGCTCTCCTTGGGCGGACCTAGTCACACTGGCTATATTGGATTTTCATGAGAGTATGTATTCACTAATCACATGTTAAAGATATTTTAGATAATGGCTCGTCAAATATAAATCATTGGTACTTCCAGGTGGTATAATGGAGTCTTTGGATAACCTATGGATCCTTCGGAACAACATGCTAAACTGTGAAGAAAATGAGAAAACGCCGAACACATTGGGCTTGAAGAACATGGCGGGAGTGTTTATACTTGTGTTAGCGGGTATTATAGGGGGCATAGTTCTGATAGTGATCGAAGTGGTGTACAAACGGCACCAGATCAAGAAACAGAAGCGGATGGAGATCGCGCGCCACGCCGCCGACCGCTGGCGCGGAGCTGTCGAGGTAAACCGAATAAAGGCGGAAGCCATGGATGTGGACCACTTCGATGTCAAACAGCAGTTAGAGAGTAAAATATAGATCCGTGTGCCATAATGACGACTGATGCACTTGTTGTATGTAGCTCCGGGATTGCGAACCATTGCTACTCAAATATTTTTAGTCAATCCCAAATCAAAATAAACGAAAACTATATTTATATAATGTTTTAATGCTAGATATAGAAGTATAGTCTGCCTATTGAGGTTCGCCATCCCCGATGTAGACAAAATATTGTTAACGACCAATATTTAATCTTATTCAAAATAAACACTTTTCATGTTCATGTATGTACATTGTTAATTTTGATCACACTAAGTCCCTGCTGCTTTGTGGAGCTTTGCACCATCTCGCTGGACACGGTAATAGTCTATTGCTGTTGTAAGTAGATACCATTGTGTTCTTCATGTTTAATTTGATGTTGTACAGCACAGATTAGTAAACGAACGGAGTGATAGAGTGTGAACACAGAATTTTAGTTTGCTTAGCATTTAGGTATTGATTCAGCGACATTAGGTGCTTCCACGTGTTAGATGGCCGCTCCATTTGTTTACTCCTCAGTGGTGTACGGGGATGGAGGAGTAACTTTGTTCTGTTTCAGAAACGGAAGACGCTTCGAGCCGCCATCTTGCCGTCACAGCGCAGAGCCAAGTCGAATGGAGTGAAGGAAGCTGGCAGTATCAGTTTGGCTGTAGAGAGAGGCGCCCGACGCCGGGACGAGCCGCGTGTTCCTAGGTACCTGCCAGCCTACACGCCCGATGTCTCCCATCTAGTCGTGTAAACTATAATTACTAAGGCCTACGTAACGCGAGTTTATCCATTGGATATTTCTTATCGCACTATGTACACTAGGCCTATTGGTGTTGTTCGTCCTAAAGTAGTTAGAATTTGAATCGTTGCTGTGAATTTAGCTTATGATATTGTGAAGAATTTAATAAGCTCAACTTAGGTATTTGTTTAGTTGTTAATTAATTAGGTATCTACAATCTGTGGTGGCAGATTTATTGACAAGACGAAGGACTAGTCTTGTTTGCAAAATATTCAGTAGTTATTGACTGTCTGTAGGCCATAAATAAAATTTAATTTAAACACCAAAATTAAAAACATCTAGATAAGTAATAATAAATTAGGTACTTAATTACTATTTGGTACTTTGTGATTTCAAAAGAAATAATGAAGGTGTAGCAAAATACGCTCTTTCTTTCTTGTTTTAAATAAATTTTTGTTATTTTTCTAAATAATGTTTTTGTTAAGGAAAGCTTTTTTTCTAAATTTTATTTATTACTTTAAGAATGAGTTATTAAGACGGGAGTTTGTTTAGTTAGTTCCTATGACCACCTTAGAGCTTCACCATGATATCCTGGTAACAAGACCTAACTAATCGTCAAGACGATTCAAAGGAGTCCAAACTCGATAGGGTTGACTTTTTTTTACTAAGCCGAAATTCCTGTGTAACTTCCAACTCCACCATAATATGGCATGGTCATGTGATTTAAATTTGATCAAATACATTCTATTAACTATAAACAGACAGTCAAATATCGGGACAAGTGAAACTAAATAAAAACTTGTACCTACTAAAAATTTCGTTTTCTATAGTTTATTATGCCGTTATTACTGTCCTTAATTATTACAAATTTTAATGTTAAACCTCTTTATTATTGAAGTGCGCATAACGATAATTTTTGATATTTATATTGTTATCTAGTTTAAAAAAACGTCTACATATGACAAAAAATAAATACCGATTACTTAATTGTTTATTAATTAATTAAGCTACTTTAACTTCGTGTTCATTGGGTTTCAGGGTAGAAATTGAAATGAAAGACTATTTTTAACACATCTATATATTTACATAATGATTTTAACAGTGCTGCATGGGAATAATATATTAATATATATAATAATAATGTATACATACATATAAATAAATATAGTAGATACGTAACAGCAACGGTGGTCTGAGTAACCATTGAAGCAAGCCAGAATGTTAATTGCAAGGATAAACAAGTAGTAGGAATGTATTGCGCAGCTGCAAGGGCCCCGCGTGACACCACCCTGCGCTCAGTCAAATCTTTGCCTCGATTTGAGTGAACATAGCGTGGGATGCTGCCGTCACCCGGCAACCTTGCAGCACCCAACTCTCCCTACTGATAACATCAATGGTACACGCGAAAATATTTATCCAAAACATTCAACAACAACGTTCATAATACATAGAAGGAAGATTATTACAATACAATAATTCACATAGAAATAACGCCCATCTACTATTGCGTGGCTTGTGCTACAGTAATACTGCAAGGGACAAGTTGCTCTGAAGTCCATAGTTACAACAGTTTCAACTTTAGATAATATATGGTTATTTGCATTTCCTAATAAATGGTAACATCTTAATTAAACCGTCTCCAAATCCTATAAACTACATCCTCTAAAATACATATAACATTATGCTATATGAATGAATTGTTATAATAAAATATTTAGGCTCAGTAAGTAGGTGTTGACATTATACAAGCAGGCGAAACTAATGCACAGTAACGAGCGGCCTGGTGGTGGCGGGCCAGGAATCAGAAACTCACAGGGTCACACATTGTCTGTCAGTTGTACAATTTCTGGCGACATAACGGGACCACTCATCAAATTACATTCTAAACAGCGATAAAATTGTACGCATTATTACGATATAATTAATTAGGCAAAGGAAAAACACTTATAATATTATAGTTCTACAAATAATGAACTTTAAATAAATTGTTAGTAGTAACAAGTGTGAATATAGGTCACCGCTACGTGTTTAATCGTTGAATTTACGGTTAGGGTTGCGGCCGAAGAGGGCGGTACGGATCTCGGGCAACAGCTGCTGGGCTATTAGCTCCAGGCGAGACTCCAGGGTGTTGCAGATCTGCACAAAAACACGTTACTTCGACACTGCTATTAAAGTAAACACGCGCCGTCTACACACTTACGACCGGCCAGTGGAGGTGTAGCTAAACAATATACCTTATCAACCGTGACCATTACACAGTACCACTCAAGTATAGTTTCACTTCATCAACAGTGTGAGATTCACTAAGCAATTGAACACATCCTTTTAAATAAAATATTGTTGTAGTGATGGTTAACCGCGGGTCTACAAGGTATGGCCGTATTAGGAGGCAACATATGGTGAGTATCTATAAAAAATATTTTGTGTACACACCTCCGAGACAAAGATTTAAATTCATAAGTAATTAAAATTAAATGTTATTGTTTGTAAAATTGTGTTTGACATACCTTGATGCGTCCCTTGAGAGCGATGAGCTCAATTCCACCGCAAGTGTCGGGCGACAGCCAGTTGTCAGTGTCGACCTTCAGTACAGTGTCCTTCTTGATCTGAGCTTTGTAGTCATTCTGGGCCTTTGACAGGACTGACTCGACCAGGGACTTGTCTACCTGACGCACGCGCAGGGTGACTGCTGGCTCCATAAGCTGAAATAAACAAATCATTTGCTCCATATGTTGATAGTCATAAATATTTGTCATAGACTATTCACTAATAGTGATTTATTCATTAATAGTGATTTATTTTTTAACAGCGATAGTATTCTTTAACACTGGACGATATTGCTAATTGTGACATCATTTTGATTGAGTATACCAGTAGCTCTATTAGATTCTTTTTTTAAATCTATTGAAAAATAATGTTTATATTATATGGTGTAATGATATAATGATTCAAACCTGGAAGAGGGCCTGGACGGTGAGTGCGGTCAGTAGCTCACTGTACAGCTTCTCGTCCTTGGGTACATCAGCCAGGCGCTTGCGAGCCTCGTCCAACAGGTTGCGTACATGGTCTTCACGTACTTTGAGCACCCTGAGACGAGCCTGGTTCAGCATGTTTGAGGATTGGCTGGCAAAGACAAAACATCATTGAATTTTAAAAAGTATTATAAACTGACCTTTTATTATTTTTGGTATTCCTAGATGATCATCATTGTTGATGGTTACAAGTGACCTAAGTATATAAAAATGAAAGGAAAAGTAAAAAAGCAATATAGATGATGATGATGATGAGAAATGTAAAGGAGCAATTGTATTTTATATGCAGATCTTAATATTGTGGTAATTGCTATGGTACTGATTTCAAATTACTCTTTGAATATAATAAAAATACAGTCATAAAATCTCTATGGTGACCTATTTTCCTATAAAACTTAAGTAGGTTTGCCAAGTTACAAGGGGAATGACCTCTCCTTTTTCTTCTTGCACCATGTTCTTGTGGCACCATGAAATATGATGCTATGTAACATATTATGGAATTGTGAGTTTTGAAACTATATTTTTAATGTTTTCTTTATGTTTCTCTGTATACAAGCGTTACAGTGTTCTCACATAATTAAACCAACTAAATAATGTATCAAAGAATATTTATGTGACACTGATTTTAAAAAGAGTAACCATGGAGTTTCTTGCTCGGTCTTCTCCATCGGAATCTACACTTTGGAATGAGCGAATAGCTTCACTAAGAGGACTGACGGACAGACTGACACTTTATATCTTTAAAATTTTGTTTGACATTCAAAAGTGCCCGTATGGGTCTAATTGAAATAAATGACTTTGTCTTTTGACTTGACTTTTTAAGCACAAGTAAAAGTCTTAAACTGTTGGTGTCAGTAATAAATATTATTTTAGGTTAGTAAATGTAAGAAATAAGTGTTTGGAATAGAAACTACAATTCTTTGATTTTACACCTTATCAAGTCTGATAAACTGTATGTAATCATTGTTATCACTTTATTCTACTCCTTCCTGCATGGTTATTCTTATATGAAGTATATATATATTACATAAATCTCAAAATAATCCCATTTTTTGTAAAGTGTGATCATGAAGAGAAGAATAATGGGTTTATAGATTGCTTAGGCTGACCATGTACATAATATCAATTCAAAATATAAAAACAATTTTATGATTGGAATCTAATAATAATGGTATGATAGAAAGAAAACATAAAAAAAAACATTTAAACAAACATGAAAGGATCATTGGTTTAAAAACTTGGCTATATTGTTTATGGTATGGATAGTCATGTGACTCAATTATTTTGCTGAATGTCAATAAAATCTTGTTGGAAAATCACATAAAATTCTTATTTATAATAGCAGTTTTATGTTAGGATACATCTCAGTTATTTGAATGATATAGGAATTAGAAGTTCATTCAAGACATTACACAAATCACATGACCATAGTGCATAACATTTTGTTTCGATATTGAAACACTTAATACAAAATATTCTGAAGTTTGAGTAAATCCAATTAGTTTACTCAATATTGTATTAATTAGAATTGGAAACTCCTTGTATTAGTAAGTATTGGAAGACTTTAAATAACCATTCTATGCAAAGAGAAAAGATTCAGCGGGTCAAAGATATATAACATGTCTATTATCTGAAAGAAATGTTGGAAATACTGGGACTTACAGATCCATGTGATTAGGTCTAGTCCAACTGAATACTGTAAACTGGCATTCAAGGTCAGTACTGGTCCATTCATTTTATTGGAAGAAACTCATCATTAAGCTATTACTGTTATGAGGGCTAGTTATAACTGAATCCTATTAGACTATTTCAATGCAGGATCCAGGAACATAATTATGCTCATCATCAAGACCTAGTCTCCCACGATTCATGATTTAAATGTATTATTTATACACTACATACATTTAAATGGATCATTAACTTTCTGGTTCAAAATAACTAATTGGGATAAAAGAGCATTCCAAAACCATTTGAAATGGGGTATAGATACTGTCAGAGATCTAGTAATTATTGAGGAACCTACATCTTTTTCTGGAGTTCAACCTGCTTCTCCTTCTTTTCATAGTACTCCATGATCTTCAACCTCTGTTGCTGGACCAGACGGCCCTTTTCAATGTTGAACTCCTCCTCAGCCTTAGCATCGATTTCCTCAGCCTTTTCATTGGCTTCTTGCTCGATGAAGGCCATCATGTGCTTGATCTAGTAACAAACATATATTATTTGATATATAAAAAGAGCTACGAACATATACAACA